TTCCGGTTGCGGGTTTGAAATTTCGTCGGATGGATGAATACATATTTCTCCAATGATGGAGAGAAAGAAAAAAATTTTTTTGAATCTTTTTTCAAATTCACTTGGCACCCTTAAGTGATATAATCCCACGAGTCTAAAAACACTTTTCACGCGAGTATCGAACCTTATTTTTCATCACAATGTGTGGCAAGTGGGGTTTTGCGCACGCGGAGCGTGTGTAAAATATCACTTTACACACGGCGTGATGAAAACATTATTTCTCCACGTTTCATGACATTCTACATCATTTGCAATTAAAATTAGAGAATCGAAAAATCGGTCAAATACAAAGACTTCCGTTCGGAAGCAAAAAATGAAAGAATGCCCTTAAATTCGATTTTTATCCGTCTTTTCATAGAATGAATAGAGGAAAAGACAGAAATTAAAAATTAGAGACTAAAAATTTCATCGGGTTATTATTATCTGATTATTTTTTGTGATTTTTTAAAATAAAAATCGTGACTTGAAGATCCTTGGAGAAACCCTTGAACTGTGGCAGAGGCCAGTTGCCTCTGTGGGGCTTTTGGAAGGGGACGACGACGTCTCTCTTCTTCATCCATCTGTCTCTATTTCCCTGTTTCTTGCATTGAGCGAGGGGCCCCCATCACCGCTCGGCACATGGTCCTTTGTACGTTCTGTTCGAAGAATTATGCGAAATATGTTAGGGACCTGTCGTTTAATCTCATGATGAAGCGCAAGTCATCATCGTTTTTTACGCATATTGTTTGTCGATATCAGGAACATTCCATCGGTGCATTGACATTGACTCGGAAAAATGTGCGTAAACCGATTGAATTACATTCTTAGATTACATACACATTATTTAGTCTGACTCAACAGATGAGAGTGGGGGGATGTGACTCAGACGGCAACTCATACTGAAAGAGAGAGGAAACGAGTGTTCCGAGCAGTCAGCAGTTGTATTCGCTGGGAGATAGTCACGTTTAATGAATTGACAGTGAGTGAATGAAACGATAAATATAAGTTTATTTTTTCCACGACGTAACAGTCGGATTTGTTTAATTCAATCAGCTGGTAATTTAATGGAAAGTTATTGTTAGTTGCGATGGGCCATAACGCGCTAACGGAGCAAGAGGGCAATCGCCCGAAGTGGCTACTGGAACTGGAGAATCGCAAACGTAAAGTAAGTTGATACTATTTATTTGGTTGATATAATTTCTGTAGCGAAGTGGTAAACTAGGATAAGTGCGAATATGGAACTTTTTCAGGAGAGTTAAACAATTTGACCATGTTTGAGAGAAATTTTCGATTCAAGCAATAGAAAAATTTTCAAAAAAATTGCACTGATCCTAGTTTACCACTTCGCTACAGATTTATTACAAGGAGATTGCTATATCTGTCTATGAATGAATGATAACAATCCGTTGAATATAGTGAATGGAGATTGGTTTGGGGAATAAGGAAAACGTGCGATTCCTTGAGTATCACGTCATCTTTCCCGGAAAGGATAATTTAAATTTGTCACGTTGAACATCGTTAAAACCAAATAGGGTGAATCGTCTAGTAATTGAACAGCTGGGTGTGTACTCATTCTAGAGAAAGGCACTTTACGCACGAACAAAATTACATGGGAAATCTAGCGCATTTAATAGATCATTCTATTGAATTTCTATTGGACCTCTATCGGATATTCTAATAGTTTTTCGTCGATTCCATTGGAAAATTGTGTAGCTCTCTCACGCATTTTCTGCGCTAGGAATTATTCATTTCAACCTATTTGATAGAAACAATCAAGAGAATTCATTCAATTCATTCTTCTATATAAGTTTATCTATTGAGATATTTTCTATAGAAATTCGTCGGCATACACTTTTTAAGGATTTTTGCTTCCAAATGGTAGCATTATAATCGCTCAAATTTAAGTTTTGGATATTTTGTGTTGTATCGATCCATTATGATCCAAACAGTGCGAAAATGCAATTTTTGTGTATGTATGTGTGTGACAAAGTTTTTCTTTCATTTTTCATTAATGAGTGAATGGAATTGAATTTTTTTTTCAAATAGATATTGTTGAGCCCTATCGATCGCCATTAATTAAAATTTAATTCATCGATTAGTTTTTTTAATTTTTTAATTTTCCCGAAAATCGGTTATCCCACGATAACTAAAAAAAATGTTCTGAATTGATTGAATGATGGTTTAAAAAATTTGTTTGGATGTCCCGTTGACCGAGTTCGAAGATAAAGGCGATAGCAATAATCGTTATTTTGATTTATTCGAAAATTTTCAAAAATTTTGAATTTTTTGAAAATCAGAATTCCGGGAATATCTTTGAATATCATGCTTCAAATGAATTCAATCATAGCTTAAAATGTTTGTTTTAATGCCATTAAGTGGTAGTTAAAAGATTATTACGATAGTTATATTGGTTGATTTGTTTTTTGATGATTGTTGAAAATTTAGAATTGTTCAATTTCCCTGAAGATGAGCTTTCTGATGGTTTCTTCTTCAAATGTGATGTTTTAAATTCATTCAAGTATGTGTCAATAAAATTTTTTCTCTTAACATTTTATCGACGGACTGAGGGGAGAGATAGAACTGTAAAAAGACAATCGGTTGTATATAGAAGAAAAGTGATAAAAGAATAATAATGCTGACAACATTGAAGTAAGTTGAAAATCTGGCAAAAATAGGTAAAAGAAAATCTTATTAAATTTAATAAAATTAAATAAACAATGAATTACACATGATAGAAGGAAATTATATGCAAAATAACCATTGGAAGCATATTGTTAATTTATTAGCAAAAATAACTTTACCATATACGATAGAAGAGCTATTTCTCACTTGTTCTTCTGTTTTCTCGTCTTTCGAATTGAAAAAATAAAAACCAACTCGGAAAATTCAGGCCGAGGAATTGTTTATAGCAAACATCTCCATAGAATAAATTGTAGAAAAAGTCGAATTCTATCGATTGTGTGAGATTTTTCGATGAAATTTTTCCACGCGTATTAAATTGCAAATTTCCATAAATTATTTATTTTTCGGACGCATGCAAAATGAAACTATAAGCAAAACAAATCGTTCTGTACTGACGGGTATTCCCTAAAGCATAAGTTAGAAAGAACCAGCATTTTTAGAGAGAAATTGTCCGCGAGGATTACTAGCGAGACGTTCCATATTTCTTTTTCAACGATTGATATAGAATGGTATGTTCCCATTCGATCGGTGTTGTGAATTCCATAGCTTCTGCACGTGGCTGCTACTTTCAATAGAAAAATATGAGAAACAAAATCAATGGATTTTTTTCATTTGTTGAATTGAAATTCTCGGCACAGAAATTTTCCTTGACAGAAATTCTAACAGAATTCCGGAGCGAAAGCGCTAGAATTTCCTTTTCAATTTTTTCATACGTCAATATGTGGCAATGCTGAACTCAAGGGCTTTCTACTTTGTAAACTTGAAAATAATCAATTTTGTGGAATTTAAGCAGTTTCTCCTTGAAGAAAATAAATATTTATCAATTTCGCAAGACCTTATGAAATGTTTTTATGACATACTTTAGTACCGATTCAGCATTTTCTTGACAAAATAACCTATTACAACTAGTACTTGACCTACTACATATCAAACAATGGAGTCCCTTCATTTTTTAACGTATTTGATGTTTTGCATAGGACCTTGTCTATACTGAGAGAAAAACAGCAGAGTTCTCAAACAAGTCTTACTTGTGCCAAAAAAATCGGTTGCTAAAAATGATCAAAAACTGATTTTTTTATGCCAAATATGCGAAGCCAGCGCCGCTTGAAAATTTTTATTGCAAAAATAGATTTAGTCTTTTCAAAAAAAATTGATTCTCTGTGCAAGCAAGAATACGTGGCTCGAAGAAATACGGGATTAAATGAGTGTAGTACCCCATTACTTTTCGCCGCCATCACATTTAGCACATCATTCCCTATATCTCAATTTTTTTTCATTTTTTGCTTCACAATGGAAGCTTTGTAATCGCTCAAATTGAAGTTACCAATTTTTTATGTTAGGGTAACTAAATATGGTATAAAAATTCCAAATATGCGATTTTTAAATGATGTCTGTATGTGTTTTTTTTTCTTATTTTTTCTCGAATTTTTTTTATAAGGGATCAATTAAATTCCATGAATTTCTTCATGACTATAGACATTAAGAGGTTCTGTTCATATTGACACCAATTAAAAGGTAATCTTTCATACAAATTCGAAAAAAATGATATTTTTGCAAAAATCAATTCTTTAATGATCACTCCAAAAATGGTCATTAAAATGGAATTAGTCATGGCTCAAAAAATTAGTAATAATACCCTCTTCAAAATATGATGGGTGTCGCACAATTCGCTGTTGAGTTACAGCATATTATGGACGCGTTTTGAACGAGAAAATCGATTTTTTCATGATTACTGAAAGAATCATGAGTAATATCAATTAAATCAGGGCTTGAAAAGTATATTTCAATGGCTCCTTATTCAAGTTACATAATGCCGTCATAAGTTTTTATATCAAAGTCTCTATCGCTATTCAACTCATTTACCAGTCTATTATGTTGAATACTTATTCGCAGACTGATTTCTGACGGAACCTGAGTTAAGCTCTGGCTAAATCTTGAATAAATTCGGATTAACCCCCGGCTATTACACTATACATTGATTAAACCTTGATTAAACCTTGATTAAACCCGGACTGAAAACGGACTCGAGTCTTGAGAGGCTCCGAATGTAGAATCATTTGACAGACGGAAATAATACGCAAAATTTTGATGACATTTCAATTGTTGATACTATAATGGCATGAAAAAATTGAACAAGAGAAAACTCATTCGGCAGCAAATTGCAAATTTATTAGCAACTATTACAATACTCATTAATAAAAATGCGATTATCCACTTGTTTGTGTCCACCCAGAGACCCCCGAAAATCACGAATTTTGATTGAAAAAAAAAAGTAAAAAAAATTCTGAACATTTTGAAAGAGTGTTTTTAATTACTATTGAGGAATGAGTTCAATAAAGGAGATATGAATAATGTATAATTACCGTGGCAAATGGTGGTCTGTCAGTCGCCACCATGGGGAGAGAAAAAACGATATAATAAATCCTTTGGTACAGCGCAACGAGACGATTGTACGAAAAGAAGCTCTTTGAAAAATTTTACAATATTTTATAGAATTTTTTGATCACACTTTTGTTGCGGTGTGCCAAAATCAATCAATGTAACCAATCAATGTAGATAACGTTCGACAGATAATGGAGCCGAGCCTTGAATTATAATTCCATAAGAGCCCGTGCATCAGGCTCATTTTGTTTACTTAAGGACCGGGTGGAATATCTTTCGAACGTTATCTCGATTGTTTTTCCATCTTCATAATGTAAAATATATCACAATTTCCATTGGATTTTACATCAGGGAGGAGTCCCTAAAAATTATGATCGTACAATTTAAAAAATTAGAAAAAAACTGAACATTTTGAGTTTTTAATAAAAATTAAGAAATAAGTCCGATAGAGAGGAAATAGTGAATGGATAATTTATCATGGTAACTAACGATATGACAGCCATTGACTATTGTGACTATTCCTCCCTATTTGGTTTATTTCCCAATATTGTTCAAAAACGCTCTTTGAAAATGTTCGGCTTTTTTCAACGTTTTTTTGATTGTACAATCATAATTTTTGGAGACTTCAGGGCTATGCAAAACTGAATGGCAATTAGAGATCATTTCGGATTATCAAAATGAAAAAAAACCAAGATCACATTCGAAAGACAATCCACCCGGGCCTTAATTTCTCGATACCTACAAGTTATAAAATTTTGAAATTATCATCTATATTCAACATGTGTCTGATACTATTAATTGAAAAAGAAAACAACTTCTGTAGTGATATTATTCATTTCAACACTGAATGATGCATCCTAAGTAATAAAATTATGAGAACCGAAATTACAGATACCAACGATCACATGTCATTAATTTCTCCATTCCGACTTTTCTAGCCGCGTTTGGCACACGAAGTAGGCGCCGGTGCTCCTTGCATAAAATGCACAGTTTCCTGTCCCGGTTTGGATCTCCATTTCTGGCGGAAAATCTGTAAAAATTGCAAATGCAGCAGAGACGATCATGACGTACCAGACGAAGACTTCCCCCAGTTTGATTTACTCTTCGGGCCAAGTGGAGTCCCAAAAAAGAAATCGATAATCCTCAAGCGACAATCAGCCGAAGAAATGTACGAATGGGCACCGCCTGACGCCTCGAAAGAGCTAGCAATAGATTACATGAAGGCCTTACCCGAGGATAAATTACCAATAAAGGGCACAGTGGGTGCTGCCTTTAGAAAGCAACAGCTCCAGAAACAATTGCCTCTCCACGACATTGATCACAAGGTGTGCGACGAGCTGACAGATTCCGAGAGAAAGCAATTCGAGAAGTACTTGGAGAATTTGAAGAAATACGTGGGACAAGGGAGAGTATCAAAGTTCGTGACAGCCCGTCCGTTCGACCGTACCCTGATGACACCAGCCAATGCCTCTGAATGCTTCAGTCCCAAACACAAGCCCGCGGCAATCCAAGGGAATTCCCCGAACCTGCGAACTCCAAGCAGCTTTGTAACTAAAAAATACGATCAAGGATCGCATTTGGCTCGAGACCGAAGCCCGATGCCCGATCCAACTCTGGCATCAAGTAAACGTGAATTCCTCTCGAATCCTCCCTTCGACCAGATCTCCAGCGAAGCTTCAAGACTGGGGAGGTACCATCACATTTTGGGAGATGTTAAAACAGATCAGCAATTGGCTCAGTCCACAAACGTCCCTGGGATTCAAAATCCTGCTATGAATTTCCCAACGGTCAGTCGAATTCCGCAAGATGAAAGTGGTCCTTTAGTCCTTCCTGGATCTCAAGGAATGGCTCCAAGCAGTCTTGTGCCACATGATCAGGGATTACATTCGTCTCGAGACAGAAGTCCTGCAACTAGTGGTCCAACTCCAGTGTCAAGTAAACGTGAATTCCTCATGAACCCTGCGTTTGATCAGTCCTCCAGCGAAGCTTCAAGACTGGGGAGGTACCATCACATTTTGGGAGATGTTAAAACAGATCAGCAATTGGCTCAGTCCACAAACGTCCCTGGGATTCAAAATCCTGCCATGAATTTCCCAACGGTCAGTCGAATTCCGCAAGATGAAAGTGGTCCTTTAGTCCTTCCTGGATCTCAAGGAATGGCTCCAAGCAGTCTTGTGCCACATGATCAGGGATTACATTCGTCTCGAGACAGAAGTCCTGCAACTAGTGGTCCAACTCCAGTGTCAAGTAAACGTGAATTCCTCATGAACCCTGCGTTTGATCAGTCCTCCAGCGAAGCTTCAAGACTGGGGAGGTACCATCACATTTTGGGAGATGTTAAAACAGATCAGCAATTGGCTCAGTCCACAAACGTCCCTGGGATTCAAAATCCTGCTATGAATTTCCCAACGGTCAGTCGAATTCCGCAAGATGAAAGTGGTCCTTTAGTCCTTCCTGGATCTCAAGGAATGGCCCCAAGCAGTCTTGTGCCACATGATCAGGGATTACATTCGTCTCGAGACAGGAGTCCTGCAACTAGTGGTCCAACTCCAGTGTCAAGTAAACGTGAATTCCTCATGAACCCTGCGTTTGATCAGTCCTCCAGCGAAGCTTCAAGACTGGGGAGGTACCATCACATTTTGGGAGATCCCAAAGCAGATCAGCAATTGGCGCAATCCATGGCTGTCCCTGGAGTTCAAAATCCTGCAATGAACTTCTCGACTGTCAATGGTATTCCACAAGGACAAATCTGTCCCTCAATTCCTCCTGAACCTGAACTTGGTGGAATTCGCGCAGCTGCAGGTGCACATTCTGATGCCCTGAACGGGCCAATGAACACAGCATTACACTTTGCTCAATCGAATTTGTATTCTGAGACCCCTGGAACCACGAACAGTCTTCCTTGCCGCTCACAATTCCAGAGAATAGGGGCTGTGAAGGCAGATCACGCTGTGAATGATAATAAACCATTGAGGTCTCACCAATGGGCTAAGAAATTAGATAAATTCACAAGACAGCCATCAGTGCGAGACGATAACTCAACGTTGGCGGATCAGATGTTATCGGAAGCACTTTTACCTCCCAGTTCGATCCACTCTAATGACATAATTGCAAGCACCTTGGATGAAAAAGGACTTTCTTACATCAGAGAAAAACTGTCTTCGAAATATGGAGAGAAAGAAGACTCTGCTGACGTTCAAAGTCAAATTCCCATGACATCCAAGGATTTAGAGAGTGGAGCTGCTCTAAGAGACTCCAGGGTCACTGATAGTAACACAAAGCCTGTAGCTTCACAATTGCTCTCGTATGGAGGAGTGAATCCGAGTATTATTCATTCAGTAAGCCAGAATAATCCAGTATTTCCTGAGGCAGCAGTTGGAACTGTCAGAACGATGGAGCATCCTAGGATCAATCGTTTGGGTTCTGAAATGGAGAATATGAGGATTTATCCGCCGAAACAAAAGTGCCATCAGTGTACAGAGGACATTGTTATTGGCGATGTCATTGTCACTGCTGAGCAAGCGAAGGACGCGGCTTGGCATCCGGGATGTTTCGTTTGCTCAGTTTGTGACGAACTTCTTGTTGATCTCGTTTACTTCTATCATAAAGGAAAGTTGTACTGCGGTAGGGATTTCGCTGGGCTTTTGGAGATACCTAGATGCTTTGCCTGTGATGAGGTAAGTTTTGTAGAATTTAAGAGTGGAGTGGAGAAATAACATCATCAATTGATTTTTTTACGTAGTTTTGGAGTAAACAATGTAAATATGCTAAACTATTTATAGTTCCTTAAGCAAATGAAGGTACAAATTACGGTAATTTATTAGTAAATTAAAATTTTTACTGTAATTACTCTCCACATGCAATGGGACATTATATCCTTATGCATTGATAAATAATAATAATTAATTTTTGAGGAATATCTTGAAGTGGAAGCAGAGGGAAACAGTTTGTACTTCCCAGTAAAAATCTCGGAATTCCAGGACTTTAAATGAGTGAAATTTCCACTTGACACGGATGAAAAAATTTAATAGAAAAACCTAGCAAATTCGTTAGAAAATTCTATTGGATTTCTATTCAACTTTGTATTAGTTTCAAACTGAATAATTAGATTTTTAAATTGAATAATGCGAATTTTGTTCTCTTTGAGGATAATGGAAAAATCTCTGTGGGAATATTTTTTGTAGAAAGAAAATCACAGCTATAAAAAATATTTTTTTTACGATTCTGCTATCCGTATTAGATTCATGAATATTCTCTAAGAACTCAACTTGGCATTAAGTTGACATAATTTACGTTAAAATGTCACAATTGCACAGGATAATAGTTTTCCAGTTACTTTAAATCATGAAATTTTTTTTTTTTTTTCAGTTGATTTTCGTGAGAGAATATACGATAGCAGAGGGTCACAATTACCATGTGAAACATTTCTGCTGCTGGGACTGCGACGAACCACTCGCTGGGAAACAATATATCTCCGAGAGCGATAGACCGCTGTGTCTTCCATGTTACCAAAAGACTTACGCGAAAACCTGTTCTGCTTGTCAGAAAGTTATCGCTGCCCATCAACAGGGTGTTGCTGTGAAAAATTTAGATTTCCATGCTTCCGAGGAGTGCTTCTGCTGTGCCAATTGTAAGAAAAGTCTTCTAAACGGCAGAATGGCTATTAAAGAGAATAAACCATTCTGCAGTAAAGAATGCATCACAACATTCCTGAATAAATTTTGAAAAAAAATGAACACTGTTCTTCAAGAGTTTTGTATTGACACATGAATATTATAGAATAAAGTACTTTTATTTTATCATCAACGTTCAAAACAATTTACAAAGAATATCCAGTCATTGTAATGTTAAACATTCATTTACTTTAGCAACATTTAAACACAAATATTTTATGAGAAACAGACTACTCTCATTTATCATTCAGAGATACGAAAAATATATTTTTCAATATTCAACGCCCAGTATTTATACGAATCGGAAATAAAAGGAACGAGAAACAAATTCAGTAGTGAAATGATAATGTGTAACATAACATTTTTGTTAATTATGCACTTATCTTGATAAGTAAATTTACCAAAAAATGTCAAGGTACTTCTTGTCGAGCATTTTCCTAGCTACAAAAAAATGCAGAAATTTTCCCTGTTAACACTTGTCTCTGAGATGAATGCATAAATAACAAAAAATGTATAATTTTCTTCATGACATTTGACCACTACGCTACCGAAATTATATAAATTACTCTAGCAAAACTTACTGACTAAATGGTGGACATATATCAGGAGTATTCCTTAGCAAGAAAAAGACGGAGGTACTTGAAAGCCTCGCGTTATCTCACTCTGACTCACTATCGACGACATTTCTGATTCTTTTGCGAAGCTCTTTATCTGGTGTGACAGAGGGTGATGAAGACTGCGGTGAGGGACTACGTTTTCGTGGTGTTTTAGCTGTCCTTGAACGGGTGACACGTCCTGAAACGAAATTTCACCATGAGGAACAGTTTATAGAAGGTGACTAGAGGGCTACGCCCCCTGCTAACCCCGATATGACTCCCATGATTCTTGTTCTGAACCTTGTGACTCTTAATCTGACCCTTATTATATCCCTCGTGACCTTTATTTTGACCTTTCATTTCTGATCCTTAATTTTCTAGTCTTAATTTCGAGTAGCAAATTTTCATCACCAGAAGTCAATTTGGATTTTTATAATTTAGAGAGATACAGAGACCCTTATTTTGATCTTTGTAACCCTTGGTTTCTGACTTCCATGACCCTTATTTGAACCCTCAATATGATCCATCTAACATTTTATCTTGTGACCCTTGAGAAGCTTAATTTTGGCCTTGGACCCCTATTCTATCCTTGTGATCCTTGATTTGACTTTCGTCACCTTTAATCTGACGCTCATGACCGTTATTCTCACCCTTAATTTCGAGTACGAAATTTTTGATCGCAGAAGTCGCTTTAGATTTTTATAATATAGGGAGATAGTTATAATATGTGCGAACCTTCAGAGATGATGTTTTTGGGGTCCAGCTCAGCCAGTTCTTTGGCTCGATCCATCTTCTCCTTAGCCTTCTTACATTTCTCCAGAGTTGGCCGCCCAGTGATACCATGATTCTCCAACAGTTTCTTCATACGATTCACACGTGCAGTGGTAGATTTGCAGCCAGCCCAGAGTTCATCGAATGATTTCACTCGAATGCCGGCAGCATTCAAGTACTTCTTCAATGATTTTATCTTCGCATTTTTCTCTGGTGGCTGGAAAAGAGAATTTTACCAATGAAATTTTGAAAGGTGGATTACTCGTGCGTGAGATGCCCCTTCAGGATGATAATATTTATGAAAAAGTCAAGTTAATCAGCAAACATTTCGTTTGTAAGTGACAGGATTGCTATCATATCATCATTACAATTGGATTTAACCATTCATTCCTTATCCTTGAGTGTTGAATGGTTGAAATGAAGAATTACTCTTGCTTTTTTAATCCCTAAAACGAACATTTTTCGATAGCAGAATACGTATGGTAGTGTAAAATAATAAATAAGTAGTTCTAGCTATGAGATATCTTGCTTGAAGAGAAAAGCAATTTTTTTGAATAACTCAATTTATTTTTGTGAATTTTTTTTTTCATCTCTTCAAATGTTCAACATGAGTATTTGTAATCTAGGTCATTTTCAATCGCAATTTTTTGGTTGAAACAAGACTTGTTTGAGAACAGGTTTTTTTTTCTCTCAGTGTGTAAAGGAGAGAAACGTTGAATTTGACTTGCTTGAAAAAATCTCCATAAAATTCATGAATTTATTCATACTTGGAAAAGATCAAGTATTCCTTTCAACTAGATCTGCCGCAAGAGAAAATTTTACATTACCTCATCATTGCTCTTCCGTTTCTTCTTTCCCTTGTCGTCTGAATCCCCTTTCTCATCTTCAGACTCATCATCACTTCCATTAGTGTCTGACTTCTTGGAATCGTCGCTCTCATCTGCTTTAGCCTTTTTCTTATCAACAGTTTTAACTGATTTATCAGAAGCTTTATCTGATTCTTCCTCATCCTCTTCGTCAGATTCCTCCTTCTTCTTCTTACCACGGCCTCGTTTCTTCTTACCATCGCCAGCAGGTTTCGTCAGTGACTTCTTGGGGCGTCCCCGTTTCTCAGTCTTCTTAGCAGATTTCGAAGCTACTTCTTCCTCAGACGCAGCATCTGAATGCTCCTCTGAGTCTGAATCCTTCGCCTTTACCTTTGATGACTTCTTACCCTTTGATTTTGATGGTTCTTTATCCTTCTTCTCCTCCTTTTTCTCGTCTTCATCTTCTTTTTCAACAGGTTTGCTGTCTTTTCCTTCATCCTCTGAACCGCTCACTTCTAGTTCAGAATCATTGGGTTTAGCCTTCACGATGATCGTCTTAGGTCTAGGCTTAGATTCCTTCTCGTCCTCACTCTCAGAGCTTGTGTCCTTGTCACTGGCACATTCAACAGACATTTCCAATCCATTCACCACCTCTGGCTCTGTCGATTTAGATTTTGCTGCCTTGGTACTCTCTGGGGATTCGAGCTCGTCTGAGGATTTGTCCTCTCCCTTCTCTGATTTTGCTGGGGATTCTTCATTCTTTTGTTCACCTGAATCAGAAGACTCATCGTGCTTCTTGCTTGATGATTCTGGTTCCTTTTCTTCTGACGATTTCTCGGATTCTTTCTCTTCGTTTTCAACTTCATCAGTGGTACCATTAGCTTTATTCGCAGCGTCGGTATCCTTCTCCGGGCTTACTTCTTTCTTTGCTTTTTTCAGTGGTATCTCCTGCTGCTCCTCCTCGCTCGAGTCCTCCCTGGGACGCTTCTTTACCTCCTCAGTATCCATTTTCTCTTCTGGTTCCTTCAGCTTTGAGGCACTGGGACTTTCCAGGTTTTTAACATCCATTGTCTCGCCTTCAACCATGTCGTCGAATATCTATTGGATAATTAGGAAAATTCAGTGAATTTTGATTCTGTTAAAATCAGCTTTTGTTGTATATCTCAAATTCCCAAGGGAATAGCGAAGTATTTCGACAACAATTAACAAATTCTTCTCACATCCAGCTCCAGGTGGAAAAAAATTAATGATTTGTTGCCAAAGATTTCGAAGAGCTTAAGGATGTTCTACACCCTTTCTGCCAAAATTCACGTTTTTTTAATTTTTCTGGCAAACTTATGATGGAATTGACGTGAAAAAATATAACGTTTTTGCGTTTTGTCATTATTTAATGACTGACGAAATTTTAAGGTGGTGCGAACATTTTCCTGCGTTTTCTCTAAACTTTTAAAAAGAGTCACAAAACTGTTGAAAAAACGCATGAAAATTATCGCACCACTACGCAACTTCGTGAGCCATTAAAGAATGATAAACCACAAAATCGTTATATTTTTTCACGTCACTCCCATTGATAATTTGTCAGAAAAATGAAAACAACGTCAATTTTGGCTAAAAGGGTGTCGAACATCCTTAAGCAGAAATTGTTTAGTGAAAATTCGAGTTGACTGATCTTGTTCAATCAATTTACTATTGTATTCAATTGAAACCCTGTGTAGATGTTTAGCCAAAATTGCAAAAGCTCAAAGCATTCTCGAATTGATAAACAGAGTTATCTCCTTTTTTTAATGAAATCCAAAGGTCTAGAAAAATTCTGGGGCTATCATCAAATCATTCCGCATTTTTTACCTTGTCCTTTATTTTTATATCTATTTTTGGAATTTTTATGTGGAGGAACTACCAATTTGAAAACCAATCCCGACCATGTACATAAAAAAAATTTGTTCCTTTCATTTATTGAACCTACTGTCGCTAATTTTACTCATTATCAGCAATATTAAATTCGCATGTTTTCCCACCAACCTAAACAATTGGTAAATCGCTCTTGTATTGTCTATAGTATAGTTATTTTTACTAATAAACTAGCAATATGCTTCCGAATGATTATTTTGCACGTGATTTCCTTCTATCATATATAATTCATTGTTTATTTCATTTTATTAAATTGAATAAGATTTCCTTTTACCTAATTTTGCCCGATTTTCAACTTAGTTGAATGGTACCAGCATCATTATTCTTATTGTCCTTTTTCTTCTATACAACCGATTGTATTTTACAGTTCTATCTCTCCCCTCAGCCCTTCGATAAAATGTTAATTGAAAAATGTTATTTACACATACTTAAATGAAATTGAAACGTCACATTTGTAGAAACCATCAGAAAGCTAACTTTCAGGTTAATTCATGAAAAATTCAAAATTTTCAGCAATCATAAAAATCAGATCAATCAATATAGTTATCGTAATCATCTTTTAACTTCGACATAGCATTAAAACAAACATTTTAAGCCATGATTGACTTCATTTCAGTAGTGAAGTGGTAAACGGAGATGAGTCGACTTATCTCCCAGTTGAGTTTTCGAGTAATATTCTTGAATCTAAGGGAGATAGCGAAATTTTAGTAATTACATTTGTTGCAGCACTTAATCGGCTCCACAAAAAAGGGTATATAAAAAATTTTGCTATCGCCCTTAGATTCCGAGATATTGATGGAAAACTGGTCAATAGTCAAAATTGACTCATCTCTTTTTACCGCTTCGCTACTGATTTGAAGCATAATATTCAAAGATATCCCCGGAATTCTGATTTTTAAAAAATACCAAATTTTTGAAAATTTTCGAATAAATCAAAACAATGATTATTGCTATCGCCTTCATCTACCACCTCGGTCAAAGGAACATCCAAACAAATTTTTCGGGTCACGGGACCTGAAAAACCCCATTTTCGTGGCGCTGCGCGCAGATCCCTCAACATGAAAATTAATATACACTCCTCGCCATGGAAAATGTGTTTTCAATTCTATTTGAATTTTTTTTTGAAGTAACTAATAGATGAATTACTTTTTAATTAATGACGAGCGATAAGGCTCAACAATAACAACATTTGAAAAAAAGATTTAATTCCATTCATTCACTAGTGAATAATTTAAGAAAAACTTTACCACACACATGCATGCATACATACATACATACACACCCATGCGTACGGACACGGTCTAAAATTGCATTTTCGGACTTGCTGCATCATAATGAGTCGATATAACACAAAAAATGCGAAGCTTAAATTTGAACGATTGCAATGCTTTCATTCGGAAGCAAAAACTACAGAATTTGTCCACACACATGAAAAAATTCGGGTTTCGAGACATGGATAAACATCCTCTTCAATCACGAAAGTATGTGATGCAACAAGTATGAGAAGCATTGAATGCGATGCCGATGCTCAAAATATCGATGACTAGGGACTTTATGGAATTGTAATTATTAATGACCTTCTGAGGCTCCTATTGCATTAATTTTTCTTTTCTCTTTCCTTCGACGAAGCCGGCCGCCCTGAGTACACTTAACCAACACTCTGAAAATGTAATTTCAATGGAGCTCGTTAGGATATGCCTAAAGGCGAGACAATGCCTCTTCTCGTTTTTCTAGTTGTCCCCAATGCCCCAGTATCAAATGAGCAGTATTGTTTCCGTTTTCATGAATGATGAACAAAGATAAAACAAATGATTATTTCTGCGAATGATTACGCTCCACAGCCTTCAGTCCACGAGACATTTCACACGAAATATGAATCAGATAAACAATTATTTGCATACAAACCTTTGAAGATGATTTCAGGTGCTAATCGATGATTCGTTGATGTAAATATTTGTTAATTATTTTCGATATTTATGTGAAATGTGCTCCTAAAGTTTGCGCGGGATAAATCTACGCGGCAACGTTGTGACGGCCATGTTATATTTATTCTCCAACACTCCAACGACTTTTTTTTCAACTTCTCAGAGCACAAGTTATGCTGAATAGACTGTAGGCAAGATGATTGCGAGTGTTAGAATGAAGGTGGTATTGGCGATGCCAAAGTGCTTCTAGCGCTATACCCAGAAAAACGGACTGATTCGGAACTACTCTAAGGCGAAACTAAATCCAATGCCCCTATACAATACGCGTGTCCCCGCATTATCGAGGCTGTTTCTGACGGCCACAACGCGGCGCTGGATTACACCTGACTGACCCCCTCCATTCTCCCAACTGCCGCCATTTCTCTGCTCTGTTTTAAAGGAAACGCCAGAATAACTCGTATTGTGGGCGCGTTTCGCAATCGACGTAGTAGCAGTAGCAGTACTGCAACCCTATCTAATTTTGCTTCACTGCAGCTACGGTAGTTGATTCCGAAACGCACCCTGTATGGTTTGAAAGTGAGATTAAACTGACATAATTATGCCTACTTGTGCAGTTGCTAATTGCGCATCAGGTTATCAGTCTAATCCTAACAAATTCCATTTCTTCACGGTTCCGAAAGCGCGAAAACCGTCAAAGAGTGGGGGATAATTGTGAAAAGTGGGGAGCCGTCAGATGACTCTCCGCGCCATCTGTAATGGCTTCAATATGAGGGACACTGAAAACACTGTGTAACAGGGGGCTGACTTCATTTTACTCATAAAAATAACCACTACTCATGGAGTATTATGTACTGTATTTTACTCATAAAAATAACTACAGATGTTTATAAAAAAATGATCGAAGAGTCCGCTGTTTGCCAAACTGTAAAATTAAAGATAAATCAAATTTGAGCTTTCACATGTGAAACTGCAGTTTCCCTACCTGGTCATCAATGTATTTAAAAAAGAAAATCTGGGAGTTTGGATCATTCTCTTTTCTACTTTCTCCACCTTCATGCAATAAAATTCCTCCAAATTCACTACCTGATTCTGGGCTAAATCAGCATTTAATTTCACCTTGCCCCATTGCTGTTTCAAGTCTGTACAGCTCAACATCTCCAATCTATCAACTCGAACCCTAGATAAATCCAATATTTAAAATGCAGATTGCGTATACTCGAATATGACTGACGATCAGTAAATGTATTGGAGTAGATAAAACGATCAAAAACAAAAAAAAACACGACTTTCTTCACCGATAAATATATAGAAGTGTCGCAAAAATGTGTTTACATTTTTCACCCAAGCCAGCTGGACAAGTACATTTGCTAATTATTTTCCTCTTATTTTCCTCAAACAGAATTTTTATAGTTGTTTCGTGGTAATTATTCCAATGTGACGATTGACGACAAGCTGATACAATTTCTACGTAATTCTGTTTATAACTTTTGACACCCCAGATGAGGATGTGTTCAGCTAATAATACCTCCTCCCCTGCTTGAATTGGTCTCCTAGTATCTCCTAGTAAGTTTCCAATATCACAAAATGTCAAATTGAACTTTGGATTGATATTCATATTTACCAAAGTCCAATAATGATGGGGTAATGGGAGGCAACGATCTTAATTTCGTATAACCATACATTCCGGCGCCCAACCACCTGGTAGGTGGTTCCCCGTTAGGCTAGTTATAGAAACCCTCAGTAGAGGGCGAAAAATCGCTTTTGGGATCGCCAATAGGGTGCGTTTCGGAATCAACTACCGTAGCTGCAGTAAAGCGAAATTAGATAGGGTTACAGTACTGCTACTAAGTCGATTGCGAAACGCGCCCTGTATGTCGAATTGTGTTGCAGGGTTGCCAGATGGGGTTATTTATAGCCACATTGGCTATTTGGGACGCATTTTGGCGGGCAAATTTTTGCTCCAGGCTATAACCCGCCAAGTAGGCTATATGCTGGAGACATCATTTAAAAAAATATATAATAAACTGTAGGACTGGAGAAAGAGTTCCACTCGGAATTGTAGGTCACGAGGATCACAAGAAAATGGTTAAATGTCACGAGGGTCAAACAACAAAAAAGTCGCAAGGGGATAGTCAAATTTCACAAGGGTAGCAAAGGTATGGTCAAATTTCACGGGAGTCAAATGTCACGAGGGTCACCAAAGGGGTCACCAAAACTGTATCGCCAAATTTTTAATTTACCTGGGTCGCAAATGATAACGTGGAAAATTCAATAAAGCTTGATGATTAACTACAATTGTTTCTTCCAGCGAATAATAATATTGGTATGGTTGATCCTTGTAGTATAATTGACGTTCGTGGAATTGAACTCCTTGATACGCATGGCCCTCGTTAAATTGAACCCTCGTAACTATCTTCTCCTGAGACATCTGATCCTCGTGGAATTGAACCCTTCAGAAGCTTGACCCTCTTTAAGTTGAACCCTGCGAAATATTGCTAGCAATGTTAATATAGTTTGTATGAAAGACTAAAGAATAGAGATTTTAATATGCTATAACATTTTTTTATTTTTACTATACTGGATTTTTCACATTTCATAAGTTTTTCAAAGTTTCCTGTTTGACGTGGATGGGAATTGGTGGGGAAATGGGGCTATACCAGCGCCACGTATTGGCGGTTTGGCTCCCCAAGTATCTGGCAACCCTGTTGTGTTGTTCTGCGACTGTCAGTTCAAATGAGTGATATACCAAAAGGAGTAATCCAAGGTTATTTGTTTATTTTTAAGGGATGATTTGTGAAAAACTAGGGAAAGTGAGTAGATTATCAGCAATGAGTGGAGCTATTCACGTTTTGACGGATTTAAAGTACGATTACATGGTCCCAATGGGTTTGAGGTTACTCATTGGTGAGAAGGTTTGATAATTTCAATGAAATATTTTATGATAATATAATTTGTTGACTTGTTATATTGACTAATGATCAAATCCACGATTGTTTCGCTCAGGGCAAGGGAGAAACTATTCGCAATTGGCATTCGTTCCAAAATACGAACCCCCGAAACCAGACGACTTGACAAAGTTATCAAATTTTATTAAAAATTCTGGGAGACTCTGTGTCCTGACTGGAGCTGGAGTGTCTACGGAGAGTGGTATTCCAGACTATCGCTCTCAGGGGGTTGGATTATATGCTACAAGTAACAAGAGACCTGTTTTGTACCAGGATTTTAGAAACAAAGAACCTATCAGACGGAGGTACTGGGCAAGGAACTATATAGGATGGCCAAGGTGAGTAGGGGAGGGTGGGGCAAAACGGACACTTTCGACATTTTTTCTAATTTTCATAACTCAGGAACGAATTTATCGGTAGAGGTCAATCTAGGCTCATCACAGAGGGAAACAATTCTGTAGTGAAGTGGTAAGTTAGGATAAGTGCATTTTTTTTTTTAATTTGTCTTTGCTTTAATCGAAAATTCTCTCAAACGTGGTCAAATTTTTGTATTCTCTTGAAAAAGTTCCATTTTTGCACTTATCGTAGTTTACCACTTCGTTACAGAATTGGCCTCTCCATGGAAAAAAATATCCCTTTTCATTGAAAATTGAATGGGCTATTGACATTTTTAAAAAACTCAGAAGTGTTCATTTTTCCCTATTATCCCCTAAGATGATTTAGGAGTCAATAAACATGAACTGACCAGTATTGGAATTCGTTCAGTGATCAAACTATTTTATATATTTATTAGAAGAACTATTTTACATAATTTATATGGAAGAAATGCTCAGGGATATCCACGTATATTTTACACTGAGAGAAAAACAGCAATTCTCAAACAAGTCTTACTTGTGCCAAAAGAATCAGTTGTTAAAAGTGATCAGAAAATTATGTTTTTGTGCCAAAACTTTAATGCACTGAAGCGGGAACTTCAGGTCCAATGTTGAACTTCACGATTCTTAAGAGGCAATGGAACTGAAAATCGGAGTAGAATCTTGATTCCAAGTTTTTTCGTCGACGATTATTTAGCAAAAATCAAATTCTTACATCGTCAATAATCTTGGTATTTATAGTGTAAGAATTTGGGTTTTGCTGAATAGTCTTCAATGGTAAGTTCCATTGCCTCTTAAGATGGTCGAAAAATCTTTCCACGCACATTATAGATGTGAATTACACATGCCAAGTGTGCGCCGAGATTGAAAATTTTTATTGCAAATATAGATTTAGTCTTTTCAAAAAAAATTTATTCTCTGTGGAAGCAAGAAATGTACTTTCTAGCACTACTTCTTCGTTATTCGATGCTCCCATACACATTTTGCTCCCAGCAAATGCTCATTTTATATGAAATGAAGGATAGAAGTTTGTCGTTTTGGCTATTCAATAATCATAGACAAAAATAAATTCTTAAATGAAGTAATAATAATCATATGACAGCAATCTTATAACTTAGGCACAAAATATTTCTTGATAAACTTCCCTCTGTAAAAGATATTTTTATCCTGAAAAGGCACCGTCTTGTTTGAAAGATCCGCCTCTTGAGCCAAATATTTCGGTGTTGTCGAAAGCAGAGCAATTATTCATGTTTGAGACTTTCAAATTCGAACCAAAAAACTATTTTTGTTTCCGAATGGAAGCATTGTTATCGTTCAAATTTAAGTTTTGAATTTTTCGTGTTATATCGACCCATTATGATCCAAAAAATCCGAAAATGCACTTTTTAGACCGTGTCCGTACGTATGAGTGCGGTCAAGTTTTTCTTCAATTGTTCTCTAATGAATGGATGGAATCGCATCTTTTTCTCAAATATAGGTATTCTTAAGCCCTGTCGATCGCCGTTGATTAAAATTTAATTCATCCATTAGTTTTTTAATTTTTGAATGTTTTCGAAAATCGATTGTCCCACGATAACTAAAAAAAATGGTTTGAATTGATTGGATGATGGCTTTAAAAATTAGTTTGGAAGTCCCTTTGACCGAGTTCGAAGATGAAGGCGATAGCAATAATCGTTATTTTAATTTATTCGAAAATTTTAAAAATTTTGCATTTTTTTTAAATTAGAATTCCGAGGATATTTTTGAATATCATATTTCAATTGAATTTAATCATAGCTTAAAATGTTTGTTTTAATGCCATTAAGTCGAAGTTAAAAGATGATTACGATAGCTATATTGGTTGAATTCTAAATTCTCATGAATTTCCTTGAAAGTGAGCTTTCTGATGGTTTCTTGGAATGTGATGTTTTAAATTCGTTCAAGTATGTGTAAATGAAATTTTTCTATTAACATTTTATCGAAGGGCTGAGGGGAGAGATAGATCTGTAAAAATAATAAGAATAATGATGATTGTAACATTCAGCTAAGTTGAAAATCTGACAATATTAGGTAAAAGGAATAATCTTATTCAATTTAATAAAATGTAATAAACGAGCTATGCATGATAGATGGAAATGATGTGCAAAATAACCATTCGAAAGCATAATATTTCTAATTTATTAGCAAAAGTAACTCTATACGATACAAGATTAATAACTCTATACTCTATATAATTAGCAATAATAAAATACTCTATACAATACAAGAGCAATTTCCCACTTGTTTTGGTGATTTTCAACTAACGATTCTGTTGGCCCAAACAAGACTTGTTTGCGAACTTGTTCGTTTTTCTCTCAGTGTACAATTTGGTACAGACCATACACTATAGATTTAACCATTTTCAATCATCAAATTTGTCAATTACATTGTGTGAGAAAATTTTTAAAAAATCCTGAATATTCAGACTCATTCAAATTACAATTTGTCAGAATTATTATTTTTTTTAAACATTCTTTGTTTATAAATAAATTGAAATTCTTTAAATTGAGACAATGGAAAACATGTCACATGCACTAAACAGCCTGCATTTTCCTGGAGATCAGAACATGAATAATGTGCCCATGCGCCGTAAGATGGCAGAGAGGCGAGAAAATCTCTCGCCCGTGAAGACTGGTGTAGAAGTGATAAAGGTTCTCGCTGTGCATTGCAACGATTAAAAAGGGTACTCGCTACTTCAATAGCGTGTTGGTCCATTTTTAACATGTGATCTGCAGGGTATGGCTATCAAGACATACCCAGTACATAATTTTTGAGATGGCGAGGCTGTTAGCTGCCACTTGCACTGACGCCTCCACAATTTCAATTTAATTGAAAAATCGATTCTCAGATATTCCTGACAGGAAAATCACTGAACAAATGTGCCACTACATAATTTTTTCACATGTAATTTTCTTGTCATTTCCACGGGATTTCAACGGAGGAGTAGATTTTGTTGGAAATTCCAACTCTTGGAAAAGAACAATTTTCCATTTATTCAATTTATGCGTCACTCCTAGTTAGGTGTCACTTGCACTAGAGCCTCTTTATAAATTGAAATAACCACTCGATTTCATTGAAAATTCATTTGCTCTTGTATAAAAATCCTCATCCCCTGATGAAGTATGCAAATTGCAGTCACGCACTCTCAATCTGTTCCCTTGGCTCTTATCTCGAACTAAATGGCTCTCATTATCTCTTTCTTCTGCATTATGGTTATCCACGAACTTCTTCTAAGCCTAGTGGTTCCCTTTCCCCCATATCAAATGGATAAGGGTATATGTATACCTTTTCTAACGAGAATTTTTTTTTCATTGGATATCCTGTTTTAACTCTCACTGAACAATAACTATCTATTTCAGAAAACGTATATGACCTTTTGCTTTTAAACACGCGATATTGGAAATCCGAAAAAATTGACCTCTGCTGACGCACAAAATTTTGTCAAAAACTAACAAAACTTGAAAATTAATGTTGAAAGCGTATTGAAATGTGCAAAAAATTGGAAGTTTTTTGGAGACCTTTGAAATGATAAGAATGCCATATAAGAACCCTCAACAATATTAAATTTTTGAAGGCACAAAACTACCTCAATAATTGGCGAAAACACCCATACCAATTGTCATGCGTTATAAGAATCTACTTCATCTAAAGAATAGGAGCTGAGATATTTAACAAACATTGTAGATCCAATGGACCCATGGGTGCAAGCTAAGGGGAGACTACTATGAGTTTTAAAAGTCGTGGGATATTGGAGTAAGATTTCTCATGCGTTGAAGATCGAAAATATATGTCTAAAAACAAATAATTAGTGCAAAACAAGCAGTATAGGACTCCTATTAGAAGCCATGGGACTGTTTCTTCATGTGTTATTAGTCTTTTTTTTCTACCAATTCCATTGGTAATGAGCTTCTGAATGGATCCGTAGCAATTCCAATTTTAAAAATGAGAATTGGCAATTCCTCTTCAACTTCCCGACTTTATCTGATGGATATTATCTTTAACAAACTAATGAATATTTCATTTTTATTTTCCTTTTTTTTTCATTTATTAATTTTTTAATATTCTCACTTTTTTGGAATGTTTTCTTCAATAGCATCAATCATAAAGGGTAGTTGAGATTAATTAGCATTGCAAAAACTATTATTCTTTTATCTTTAATCCTATTCCGCGGACGCGTCACGCCTTTTTGTATTACTTTTTATTACGCTTTTCGCGACAACATTTTTAATAAACACTCATTTATTATGAAACCGACTGATATTAAACAACATGATATAAAATAGAAATCAGCATAATTTAATGTTGAATGACTTTTTTAATCATCTAGCCGCAAAAATCATCGATAAAGTGACGATATGTAATTTTTTACAAAAATGATTTTTAGATACATGGCTCTATACCATGATCTACTGGATCGACCCAAAATTTTGTACAGAAATGAGACCCGATAATACTGATTTTTAGCCTAAATTTTATGGGGTTCATTCGAACTTTTATGCGGATTACCGGACGTTAAATTCACTATGAGATGGAAAAAAAATAGAAAAACGTGAATATTTCGGAAACTTTGTATGGACGGGTATTCATATTTTGATTGATCTCGATAGGTAGCAGCAATACGAGTATTTTGAAAAAAAATTGAAATCGGACCAGTAATTTAGGAGATATTGAGCAAAACAGTTTTTTACAAAAAATTGAATATCTTCTAAACCACTTGTTCGATTTTGCCTGCTCACGAACTCATCCTGTAATATCATAAGAGCTACAATCTCACCAAACTTCAAAATCCTATCTCAATTTTTTCGGGAGTTAACGTGTATACATTAATTTTATCATAAAAATGAAAAATTCCAATTATCATCAAGCTGTCCCTAGTTTCGTAGGGATCTTATGACTTTATTTGATAGATATTATCACAAGGAATATTTTGACATAAAAAAAAATCAATTAGGTCACGTAGTTTTTGAGATATTGAGGAAAAACGATTTTTGAGAAATTGCTGTACCTCAAAAACTACTAGACCGATTGAGCTAAAACTGCGCCCAGAACTTCTCCCAAATGATAGCAATTACAAAATTTCAGATTCATAGCTACAACTTTACTCGTCTTTAAAAAAAAAATTTGCCCCCGTTGAAATAGTGTGGAATGCCTCATCTCTTTCAGATTTCCAGATGTGCATTAAAAATTAGCCCCAGAATACAAACTACTTGAACCACTTCATCACTTCGTTATTACATTGCCAATTTCCACAATAAAAATTAAGATAAATATTATATTATTTATTTCTCGTAGATTTTCAAATGTCCAACCCAACGGCACCCACAAAATCCTAAAACACCTGGAAGACCTCGGAATAGTGAATTGCATCGTAACTCAAAACGTGGACGGTCTCCACTCGAAAGCAGGCAGCAAAAACGTGATAGAGCTTCATGGCACAGCATTCAGGGTAATGTGTTTGAGTTGCGATAAAACAATTAATCGACATGACTTCCAGAAAGTTCTGGATAAGGCAAATCCATCGGTGACATTGGTCAGTAAGGCCATAAGACCGGACGGTGATGTCGAGCTCTCTGAAGAGCAAATTGAGGGCTTCATCCTACCTCCTTGTCAAAATTGCGGAGGAGTTCTTAAACCAGATATCGTTTTCTTCGGAGATAATGTTCCTCGCGTTGTCGTTGAGACTGTCCAAACATCTGTAGACAATGCAGATGCTTTACTTGTCCTTGGCACTTCTTTAACCACGTTCTCTGGTTATAGAATTATCCTGCAAGCTGTTGAAGCCAACAAACCAATTGCTATTGTAAATATCGGGGAAACTCGAGCTGATTCCTACGCAAATGTTAAGATTGAGAGTAGATGTGGCGAAGTTTTCTCAAAAGTATTTCCATCCTCCAATTTTGGGAAAGGTAGTTAATAAAAAATAAATGTAGACATCCTCGTGGAAGGAAATTTCAATTGTTCTGGAGTTAACACAATTTATCGGGAATAAATTTATTATTGATAGTTAGTTTTGTTTAGTAACAATGTGTACATTTCATTTTCCTCTACACTAATTATTCAACTATGTGATATCAATATTTAAAAATCCCTGAAAAGGCGTGAACGAAGAGTTTATCCAGCCTCAAACGTTCAACAGCGTTCTTTGATTACTATTGAATGGATTAAAGATAATACTAAGATATGCTTCAACATCGCTTTTACATAAAAACCCGTTATTATATCTAATCTTGCTGATTCTATTAGCTAGGTTGGACAATCTCAATAACTTATAGATCCATGAATTACTGTTTCATATCACATTTACCCATTGAAACTGTGCATCATTACTATATCTATATTTGCATAGAAAAGACACACGGAGACAAATTCTTTGGAAGAATTCCAGGGCTGGTACTTGAAATTTTATTGTGCCGCACATTAATTTCTCGTATTTGAATTAAAATTTTCCAGAAATTTTACTCAACAGCACTCAAATTTTTCATAGCAAATAGCTTGTGCTCTTTCTCCGATACTAGCTCTACAATTTCCCCAAAAAATTTCTCTCCGTGCAGAAGACTGATGGAAATTATCGAGCAGATTTCCCCTTGATCTAGTCAGTTTCATCGAGTAAAAAAGAATCATCTTAATGATAAAACAATAGAGACTGTGAGGATTCTACCTGAGGATCACTTAATCTAATAAAATCCTCGCACCCTCAATCTAGAAAAAAATAAAATTAATATTCCATGAAGAATAAATAATCAATTTAAAATTTAGATTGTACGAGGTCGATCCAAGAAGACTGAGCTCCGACACATAAAATCCTTTAAGATCGAGAGACGAATAAGAGCCAATTGTATAGTTAAAACAGTTCTAAATTCGAACGTTATGATAAGTCTGCCAATTTCTATTCCTGTACGTCTGTTGTCTCGAAGAAATTATCTAAAAAAACCTCGTACTGGAACTCGACTCTGGGATCACGGATTGTCGGGTCCCGTTTTGTGTTGTTTCCGAATTCACATGTTCATATTTAGAGGCATCAGAGGTACGTACTTTTCACTTGGACGAAATTGGTACTGTGAGCAGAGACGGTCCGACTCAGCCTCACCGTATCCGTTCCTGCAATTGAAGAGTTTTCTTTCATTTTATTATTCCCTGATAATTTGTTCTTTGGTAATGTGGTACGAGGGCCCGCGGAACAGAAATATCTGGGATGCGATAGGAGAGAGTGGGGCAAAATAAAACAGTCAAAAAAAACGACTGTTTGACGCAATTCAAGCAAAAAAAAATTTATTCAATTTTTTGATTTATTAACTTTTTTTTTTATTCTTGGGAGTACTGATGAGAATAATAATTTTCTATCAGTAGAGTGGGAAATTATTGAGAAGTTTTGACGAACGCTGATTTTGTCAATAGATTAATCGAAAAAAAAATGAAAAAGGAAAATCTGATGCTGAATTTCAATCGAATAATCCATTGACAAAATCTTCGCCCATTGAAACTTCTCAATAATTTTCCCTTCTACTAAATGGAAAATTATTATTTTCATCAATACTACCGAGAATAAAAAAAAGTAGACAAAAAAATTTAATAAAAAATGTTTTTTTGCTTGAATTGCGTCGGTCTTGTTTTTTAATGTTTCATTTTGTCCCACTCTTTCCTAGGTTTTGTGAAAATAGAAGCCTTTGTTTCGAGTTTTTCTGGAGTCAAATATGAGAGTTAAATATCTTGTCTCAAACATTGAGGTCGTATATTAGGTATCGAATATCACGACATGCATGTGAAGGATCAAATATTGCGAGTCAAATGTCCTGTGTATTCCTGATAACGACGATTCTTAATAAAACAAGAGTTCCAAATTTTTTAAATACAAATGATGGATTCTACCTCAGTCCAGCCCCCAATTTTTTTTTTAAATCTCAAAAAAATATGAAAAAAAAGAGTGGTTTAACACTCATTAAAAGTACTCTCTTTGAATTTTTTTCAGATTTTTTACGCATTCGTGATGGAATTAAATGGATTTGAACAAATTTGGAAGAAAAATAGATATCGAGACAAACTGACGTCCGAGAAAAAAAGTTGCAACAAAAAATATAGGTTTTTCATCTGGATTTTTAAAATAATTTTTTTATTATAGGAGAAAAGGGGTATAAAGAGTTTAAATTCTAGAATTAGCTTAAAAATTCAATTTTTACGTATTTCGCCATTTTTGTTTTTCTTAAAAAATTGAGGTAATATGATGATTCAACTTCAACGTTTATCAATGAAAATGGAAATGGGACGGGCGTAAGTCCGTTTTTCCGTTTTCCGTTTTACCGTTTTTCGGTAAAAAAAATTATCATCGCTAGTTTTTGAGTTCGTGATCAATACTCATTTCTTGGCTAAATCGATGATGTCACCCAAAGGCACAACAAAAATTTCAGATTTTTTCCTCTAATTGTTCTCGAGAAAAAGAATCACACTTGAATTTGAAAGCTTCTAACTCTCATACGGACCAGTTGGCGGGAAGAATTTGAATTTTTTTGTGACTTGGGTAACATCAAAGATTGAGCTAAAATATTAGTTAGAATCAACACCCCTTTTGTATTTGACCCATAGTCTTGGATTCTCGATGTATTTCGTCATATTTTACTTTCAATATCCAACTTTTTATATTTCTCATAGTATCAGACAAGTTACATTTGACCTTGATATTTGTCCCTTTTCATTTGAATTATTGTATTCAAGTGCTAATTTTTCCGAATTTCTGATATATGCGGTTCGCCGGCCCTCGTGGAACAAACAATACAATTTCCACTCCTTCGAATATTGTTCCTTGGACCATCCCCCTCGTATGTTTTATTACTGCAGGCAAAATTTGTTAGTACCTTTCACCTATAAAATTCACGAAGCCAAATTGGTCATGCATTAATTTTATTCTATCCCTTCACCGATCCAGAAGAGCTGGAGACAGCGAGCAAACTAAAAATGTTGAAAAGTTATTTTACATAAACGGTAGACATGTTTGTTGAGCCTCTTCCTCTGACGATCTTGCAATGTATCTATGACTAGATTTGCAAGAATCTTAAATAGTGCTATAGGTCGTGATCTCCAACTGCGAGCGGAGGCTCGCGGTATGTACCTGGGGGATCGTTCCCACTGGGATAATTCACAACTGAAACGATTGTTATTCATTCGTTTAATGTGCTGAATTGGACGAAATTACTGACGTCATGGATACCCATTACAGAAAATTACAAATATTTCTATTTTCTATGTCCACTATTTTTTAAAACGTACACTGAAGGAACAAAACATTTCCTCTAAAAAGGCTTGTGTGAATCAACACAATCGTAAGTTGAAAAATTCTTAAGAATCATAAATCTTTTGCTGAACATTCTAAGAGCATTCTGAGATGAACAATTTTTGTCGCACAAATAAATTCAGCTGTTTCAGAAAATTTGTATTGTCTCTGCAAGCAAGAAATCTCATTTCTAGCAATATCTTCTCATTATTCTATCCTACCATATGCACCTATGAAAAATAATCGAGTTATGCGAAATGAGAAATAGTAATTTTTCCTTTTTGCGATGCAATATTCAAGAATAAGAAATTATTTCTTAAAATAAAAAAAATGATATAACAATATTTTTTGCTTTATTTTACTTTGGAAGAACTATTTTCATCCTGAAGAAGCATATCTTGAGTCCAATTTTTATTTGCAAAAGGTAGGGCTATCATTCACGTTTGAAACTTTTGCGTCTTCCATTCGAACAATTACTTTTTCGAGCATTTTTTTGGTTTAACCCTTCAGAACTCGCGCTCAGCCACCGACATTCGATACTCGCGTGGTGAGCACTGCGCCGCCCGTGCTTTCAGTAACGCAGCGTTGTCACGTTCATAGGTACGCGCCGAGCGTGCGGCGAGCGGGAAATAGCAACAGCGGAATTGAAAATTTTACATCCTTCGTTACTCGCGCTGGGCGGCACGGCACCGCTTTTGCGTATGAGCCTCAACAATTTATTATTTTTCGTAGCCTTGATGGATTTTCAGCGGATAAGAACCTTGCTAATCCATTCTAAATGATTCAAGCTAGGCATTCTAATTTTTTCAATTTTTTGAAAGCTCAATTTTGCAAGAGGCAAGCGAAAATTTGAAAAAGGCGGCGCGGCGCTTATAGCGCGAGTTCTGAAGGGTTAAACACGACTTGATTCAGGACATGTATGTTTCTCGGTGTATTGAGTCATTTCTCACTCGTAAAATAGTAGATTTCGATAAGGAGTCATTCTAGGAGAAGTCAAGAATCCTGTTGTCTTGGAAATAGCGTCAGATGCCAAACATATTTTCTTTTTTTTTCCTCCGAAAAACAATTATATTTGAGACAAATTGACAATTAGTAAAAGTATCGACTTTAAGATATTGCGGTTTACAATGTCCCCCCCTTCCCCTTCAGAACGGCCGAGGGCCTTTGAATGGGTCAACGCTAGAGATGGACAGGTCAGACGTAAATCACCGAAGTTTGACCGTTTCCCGACCTTCACCGAATTTTGTATTCAAAATGACCGTCACAGTTAAACTGTGTTAGACATGGGCCAAAATGACCAAGATATAGTCTATATAGTTGCAAATTGACTGACGTTTTTTTTTCGGTCAATTTTTGTGTCATTTTTTGAGGGTTCGATCGGAAAACTTTTCAATAGAATTGAATTATTATCATTTATTAATTATTATCAATGCCCCGGTTCTGAATGATACACTGTTAGAAAAAAAATGAAATTTCATGGGCAGTTGACTAGTAATTTTCAGGACACTGCCACTGAATGCAATTTAAGGGGAAAGACAATCGTAAAATTTCAGATTTCACTGAAAATTCAATAAAACACCAAAATTTTGAGAAGCATAAAGACGAGAATTCTTCAATTTATTTGAATTTTCAATGAAAACATGAATATTCAGTGCCAAATTGCCGTGAATTTTCAAATAATTGAAAATTCAAGAATATGTTTCTCGGAATTGTCCGGTTTTCTATTAATTATCAGGGAATAATTGAACCAAAATTTACAGTTCTCATCAATTTCCCCTCGAAATTCACTATTTTCAATGACGAAAGTCCTTGAAATTTCAGTAGAACTTGAATGTGATAAAAATTTCCGAAAAGTGTATTGAAAATTTCAAAATCTTACTCCGTATGATATTTCTGCTTGAAATTTTCATTGACAAGGCTTCTAGATACTTCAAAATGAGATGTCAAATTTTTTCAACTTTCTCCGAGACTTGACTACAGTGTCATTACAAAAATGGGAAAAAGTGCAGTGTGGCGCTCATAGTGCGACCAACGGAGTGATATAGATGGAAATTAACAGTCAAACTTTATCCGGTCACGTCATGCGTATGGTCAATCGTCATCATTTTCTCTGACCATACGGTCAGATTATCGGCGCGGTAATTACCAGTCATGGCGGTGGTCAGTGACGGTCATTGACATCATTGGCTTCCGGATGGATATGTTTCGCAAACATTGCATCTTTAGGGCTATGAGCTCCGATTCTGAATCAGAGCAGATTTCGTATGCAGACTGCAATATTTTCGAAATGTCGGCGCAACGCTGAAACCAAATGCGGCATCCATCCGGAAGCCAATGATATCAACAATTTTTACGGATGCCATCTAAAAGTCCCCAGCAAAACCGGTAAATATCTGGAAATTTACCGGTAAATTGTTAGCTGGATATGCTCGCGAAGACTTCAAAACTAAGATTGACGGTCATTCTTGTCACTTACACCTCGAGTCAACACAAGTTTATTTTTTCATCGTCGTTATCATTTATTCAAATCCAGATGAAGGAAGATGGAAAAAGAGAAAAAACGAAGGAAACTCCGGGTTTTTCTGTCCTGGAGATCATAGGATGATAATAACGTTACCTTTGCCATTGTGAGCACGGACGTCTCTCCTTGAAACAGGTAACTTGAACGACGTTGAAGAAGAGAGCTCCAAGAGTATTCGCAACTTCCGTATTAAGATTTTGAAGACACCGTCGAAATTTGGCGTCACAGTCACAGTGAGATCTCGTGAAAGGTGAGTTGTTGCAGATGCCTTTGATGCATTGGTGTGGGTTGACTACAATTGGGCAATGGTCATGCTCCCGACAACAGGCGTCTTCAGCAGCGTGGTGCCCAAGTTCTTCGTAGGATTTTGCGAGTGTCCCTGGCCCACACCATTTCGTTCCAGGATAGATCAAACCACCTCCTGGCGTTTGCTTCCGAATTCAAGACGAAACATCAATTGAAACTACTAAATTTCGAAGGAAAATTTTAAGGAACTTCCGCAATAAATTTTGGGGCTATGGAGTGGGGGAAAATATTAAAGGTTGCGACAGTCCGCTGCATCCTTTGAAAAAAAAAATGAAATAACGAAAAGTTCACGGACGTATTGGAATTTCGTCGGTTGGTTTTCTTTGCACTTATTATTCATGATTAATTTTAAATAATTTTTATTCCGAAATATTATTCATCCGAATTTTTTAACAAATAAAAATTTACATGAGAAATTTGACAACCACGCATTTTTGTTCGATGCTGTTGGTATTCTTGTGTCCCGATAAAATCCTACTGCACTATAGAATCTATAGTATTGCCATATTCAGCCACTTTGTATTGTCCTACATGGGTATGCCATACATTTTCAATAATTACAAATACTCGATGTGGTGACGACTAATGAAATTGTGGGGATATGTTCCTGAAATATACACGGTTCCATTCGTGAAGCGTTTGAATTCTTATTCCATTGTCGATTATTTTTTTGTAATTTTGGAAAACGTGGTGCCATAAGACTCTGTGTTGATGATCATCAAAATATGAAAAATGTATAAATACATTTTTCATATTTTCTCCTCAACAATTTATGTGGTTCAACGTTTTGGGACTTCGGGAGAATATTTGTTATCACTCAAATAATATATTCTCAAAATTTCAGCTCTGCAGTCCATTTCCTTCTACTCCCATATACTTACTGCGGAAGTTCCTTAAGACACAATATGAGTTACCTTTGTATTTTGAGCAGCTTTACACGTCTCTTCAAGGTCTGTGACAAGATTCATCGACATCTGTCTTACTTTCTTGGGGTCAGTACCGAGTATCATCTTTTGTATCACACCACGATCAGTGTAAAGAGAGCAGAATGGCACACCAGCATTCAATTCAATCATTCTTGACATCGTATTGTCAGCAACGAGAACACTTGCCCTTGTACCTGTCAGCCAAAGTACTGACAGGGTCATGAAAATAATAGCGAACATCTGTACAGAAAAGAAAAATCTCTAGTTTTTAGTAAAATTTTTTTGAATTTCAGAACTATCTTGAACTGAAATGTAGTGAGCAACAAATCTGGAGAATAAGTATAATTTTCACAATAAAAAACATTCTTGTTTTTTATTTGACTCATGTCTATAAATTGTTTGTTATTCAAAGTATTTCGCCTGATGACTTTTAGTCATTTCGATTCCATCGATTTAGATTCCATTAATGAAAAATTCATATCCATTTATTCCAAAATTTTATCCCTTTCGTATGTTTAAGAACTCAAAGTTGCTTAATTTAGCAACCTAATGAATCTTGATTCAAGCACTTTTCACTTGGAAAATAAGAAGGCCTTCGGTACTGAATTTTAAGAATTTTTCTGCTGAACTTAAAGTAACTCTACTCTTTCGATAGGTTGCGCTACAGATTTGGATGTTTTCATTTTTTGCATTTTTCAACTAAAGTGTATGAGAAAAATTTCATAAATATCAAATTACATTTTATAAAACGGCTGAAAATTTTCTATGAGGTGTCAAAAATTTCTCCATTTTTTCACATCTAATAAAGAATCGAAAAAAACAAAACGGTCATTCAATTGAGAAAAAAATTATGATTCCAAATCTAACTGCACTCTATGAATTTATTGCACAAGTAAAGCTGCTTTAAATAACAAGTTTTGTTAGCTATTAACAGAGGGCACACGTATGAACAAATTCAATAGAAGAATGTAGCGTTTTCTCTGAGAAATTCTATCGAATTTCTATTGAAACTCGATAAGAACTTTAATTGAAGTTCTGTTAAAATTCTGTGAACAAAAATTTTTTGCTGTGCCGGTTCTACTACAAATTATTGAACTTCGCTATGAGTTTTTCAATAGATAAACTATTTTCTCTCGTATACCCTTTCGGGTTTTTACGATTTCTTCTCTTCCCACCCCCCAACCCCCTGTAACGCATTCGCCGAAGGACGAGGGAAAACCTCACTTGAGGGAAAAACCTGCCCAGGTACAGTCGTCCCTTTAACGAGACTCCCGCTCGACAGTGAAACTGTGAGATTAGAGTATTACAAATTTTCGTTCCCCAGCCGGGTATCGAACCCGGGTCGCTCACGTGCCAATCCCATACTCTAACCACACAGCCACGGCCGTCGGTTTTTTCAATAGATATTTTTCATAGAAAAAAACCTGTAGATGTTGATTTTTTAATAAGACTTTTTCGGCATAAAGTTTTCAAGTTTTTTTTCAATTTTATTATGAGCCTGACGCGGAGGGTAAAGTCGTTGCCTCACGTACGCAAGGTTCCGAGCTCAAATACCGGTCGGCTAGAATGGTGAGATCTTGACCATTTTAAAGTCTTGATCATCATCGCAATATACTCAACCGAGTCGAAGCAATGTAAAATAACAATAAAAAAAATTATGAGCAGAAAAATACAGCGGAAACAAATTGAAACATTTATGCCCAAGAATTTCCATGAAAAGATCTATTGATTTTTTACCTCAAATATCTATAAAAAATGATACGGTAACATTGCACAATTTTCAACAGGATTGGCGCAAAAAACCAATAGAATTATTTTGTAACTGCAACAGACTTCTTGGAGACTTCCAATAAAAATTTAATTTGTATAAAAACAACATTTAATTTGTATAAAAATTGAATTGAATTTCCGTTGAATTTTTTTAGAGGTGTCGCGTTGAATAAGACCACGCGAATATTTCTTAATAGTTAACAAGTCACGAATTGCCGCGATGAAACTTTCAGTTAATTGTGAAAAATAGTGTTTCTTCATAGTCCACGCTTCTTTCAAATTAGCCATGCATTAATTATTAACAAATGGAGCCTGAAACACTGGAACGAATCGGTTTGTTAACTATAAATGAATCCTCCTATACGGAGAGAAATTTTTGATAAAAATTATCCTACCGTTCTATAAAGTGTATCATGAGTCATCGTTTCCTCATTTCTATCCCGAAATTTAGTAAAAATTGATATATGATGATTAAATTTTATTCTAGAGAAATTTTATCCTGATAAAAATAAAAATTACCGTCCCAGTATAGTAAATATTACTGTACCGGTAGGGTAAAATTTACCAACCGTTCTAGAATTTTCGTTGTTATCTACATCAATTGGATCATAAATTATTGGACTGGAAGGGTAAAATTTGTTATGCGTCAGGATAAAATTTCTCTAACACAGAATAAAATTTGATCATCATATATTAATTTTTACTAAATTTCGGGATAGAAATGAAGAAACGATGACTCATGATACACTTTTATAGAACGGTCGGATAATTTTTATCAAAAATTTCTCTCCGTGTACCAGTGCCAATGCCTTTCAGAATCATAAGTTTTTTGAAGCAGTAAACTGTTTTCCTGAAAACTATAAACTTTTTTTCCCTTCGTAAATTGTCATCACGAAAATACCTGCACAAGCTATTAACAAATAGAAAATATGTCTATGTCAGGGTCAGTCATACTTTGATTAACTAATCGAGGTTTCCCCTCAGCGGACGCATTCATATATCTCCAGGCTCTTATTACAGCGGAATTATTTACGCAGCTGCATGTTCTTCAACGCTTTTTCAAAAACAATTCAATGCAATCGATCCATTTACGTTTTCCGTACACGGATAACGTGACATGAAATTCAATTTGAATTTTTTTAAATAGATTCCTTTCTTAACCATTGCCTCTTCCTTTGGATTTTTATAAATTCTGGAGATGTGCCGAGTGAATATTACAGGGTACAAAGAGAGACTGACATCCTTGAAGGATTTTTTCTTTCCTTTTGAAAACGATGGATAAATGTTTTCGAATCCCCTTCAGGGTCACGGTAATATTCGTGGCGTTGACATGGGAATACGTCTATTACGAAGGCCCCCAGACAACCGGCTATCCTTCCTCTGTCCACTTTGCAGAATCTGAAGATAACGCCCACATTTAAATTCTTCCAGTGCAAATAGAGAATTTCTCAATGCATAAAGATCTGTCAAGCACCTTGATGAAAACATTTTTCGAAAAATTTGGACGAGGTTTTTGGCGAGAACTCGGACAAAATACCTTCGAAGGAACTCTGATTAAAGAACTGATGGAATTTCAGTATTCTATGAATATATAAACAAGTCGAGAATAAGCCCCAACAGGCGGAAATCATCGATAAAATGGCGATGTGTGACTCTTTAGAAAAAAAGATTTTTGGACGAATAGCTCTATTGAATCGATCAACACAAAATTTTATACACAAGTGTGACTCGAACAACACTAATTAGTAGCCGAAATCTCAGATATTTATTCCAAGTTTTACGCCTATTCGGAACGCCACATTAACTCTCAATTGAAGAAATTAGAACAATGCGAATATCTCGAAAACTTTGTGTGAACGGGTATTCATATTTTGATTGATTTTGATAGGGGGCGGCAAGACGAGTTAAAAAAAAAATTAATCGGTCCAGTAGTTTGGAAGATATTGGACAAAAGGGTTTTTCGCAAAAAGTTGAATATCTTCTAAACCACTTATCCGATTTTGCCTACCCACAAACATATCCTGTAATACCACAAAAGCTACAATCTCACCAAATTTCAACATCCTATCTAAATTTTTTCAATAAATTCAATGTAGCCACGTAGTTTTCGAGATATTGAGGAAAAAAGATTTTTGAGAATTTTATTTAACAAATTTGTCCTTTATCTCTCCTAAAGATTTATAAACATGGAGGTGAACAACAATATTAAATACCAATGATGTGACGAAATTTCAGATTTTTAGCTTCAACTTTAGTCCTTTTCAGTGAAGATTTATAAAAATCTTCCGAAAAATTCGCACACACATCCGGACATACATTCGCACATTTTCTAAAAACATCGTATCTTTACGTTTTATGACATTCCACGTCATTTCCAGGCAAAATTCGAAAATCGTCAAAATCAACGATTACAAAATATCCATTCGGAAACAATAAAATGAGATATCAATAATTGGAATATTATTTGCATATAACGAGAATCATTTGCATATCACTTGGTAATGAAAGAAATGTACAATAACATGTGAATTTGCATTGAATAATTCACGTAAAAATCGTTCACTCACAAAGTCTTTTCCCGAATTTTTATTAAAAACATTCTGTTAAAATTCTTTGGAAACAGATCTCGGCCCGTGCTATCATTTTCCCTAGCCTCGACCTCTAGAGTTGAAAACACAGAGCAAGAAAAAATTGCAAGAAAATTGGGAGCAACCCCAGTCATATGTAGGTCAACGAGTCCTCTGCCAATTCATGTCGACAAATGCAGATAAAATGTATTGCACGTGTTTAATACGCTAGCTGACCGGCAATGTGACATTCATCGTCCTCATCAATTGATCATTAAGTGGAATTTGCGTTTTAGCTTGACGCACGTAGTCGACAACCCCTTCGCATCACCGATCCGGTGTCCTAATGAACCCAATCAGTCATACATTCAGTCATCACGTCAATAAGTAGCGAAGAAATTTGTTGAAATATATTTAGTAATAAAAATTCCCCTGAAATAGGGAAAGACCGATTCAAGGTCGTGCCACTTAATTTATGCACAATTAATGCGATTCTGTGATTCACAGTATGAGGGATACTTTTGACTGGCTTCAACTCGCCAAATGAAAGGTAAACAACAAAGAACCTCTTACGTAGGAATACGTCCAAATACAGTATAGTTAAGACACAATCCCCAGAAAATCGATTACCTTGGTTTTCAGCCCTGCAGTTTGTGGCGTATTATGATAACAGATATTATTTTTTCTCTCTCTTTCTTTCGGAGAAACGAGTGAGTTCGTACCATCGACGGGAGATCACTGTTGGATAATTTTGAAGATGTAAAAGAGCGGCACCCGGTGAGATAATTGCATCTGCGCACGCATATGGCGTTTGGGATAGCACAGTGCTGCAATGCGCAATATGGTGGAAAACCACCCCTTGGCACAACTGGGTATTTTATTGAAAGAAACATGTACTGAGATCGCAAAAATTTTCCCCTCATTATTTTTTCACTGATGACAACTGAATTCATCTTGTTTTTTTCGTGAGTTTTTGGAATGGATAAAAAATTTAATAGTTCAATTACCAAATGGTTAAAGTCATATATCATTATTAGTCTCGACATCGAGTGGTGTCAGAAGAAAATTACAAATAACTTTTTTTCGTTCTGCGAGGTCCTTATAACGTGTCTTTTGATATTTTTTCTTACTATCATTCATTATTGAAAGAATTTTATATTTAAACAATATTAAATAGCCAATTGTTTTCCAAGTGTCGAATTATTTTATATTTTATTGAGGTATTTTATTGAAAGAAACATGAGTGCTGAGATTGCGAAAATTTTCACTTCATTATTTTTTCACTGATGACAATTGAATTCATGATGTTTTCTTCGTGAGTTTTTGGATGAAAAATTTAATAGTGCAGTTGGTAAATGGTCAATGTTACAAGTCATTATTAGTCTTGACATCGAGTGATTTCAGAAGAAAATGACAAACAACTTTTTTTCGTTCTGCAAGGTCTCTTATAACACAAGTCTTTTGATATCTTTTCCTAGTATCATTCATTATTGAAAGAATTTTATATTTAAGTGAGATTGAATTGCGAATTGTTTTGCTAATATTGAATTTTTCTTATGCAACTTCTTTCACACGAAACGTTTGAGTAAACGTCACTCATCCACTTACCGTTTATTCCCAGCAATTATTGTTGTAGTGACTGAATTATCCTTCAAAAAATGGATTTCAAGTCAGACTGTAATATTGACTTTTATGTCTTGACTGACTCTTCGATGAATCTGTATTTGTTCCTCGTCGACGGTCACCAATGTACTGATCGCTGGAATGGTACGTTAGGATGCTAATATTCTACTTGGCACGATGGAACAAAAGCGTTTGTATATACTAGTGGCATGAGACCGGTGTGTATATAACTACGAATTATGGACTGTATGACATTAATCATGCTAGCTATCGTATCGCCCTAATTAGTCACTTTTGTAGGCCTATGATTTACCAATTGATCAGATCTAACGACAAAACTACCACTATGAGGATTATTTTTATAAGAAAATTCTATAATTAATTTTTTTTACTATTTTTTTTTTTAATCATTATTTTACATCGGTTTGACCCGGTTACGGTATACTGCGCCAAGCCACGGGGCTTTTTTTTACTATGAAAATTAAACTGTATTTTGCCATATCATAAACCACGATTGATCATTTTCAATAGCTTATGACGTTTGAGGGTTTGTAGGGGTTACTCAGACAACCCAAACCACAGATGAACCCTCGGGTCGCCAAGTTGACCCTTCAGCTTCCGGCTGGCTCTTGCGATTACAGCCTAAGGGGTGTCCGCTCACAATTGGTATCGTTTTATGGGAAAATAATAATTAATAATGTTCCGAAAACTGTTTAATGTCTACAAGACAATATGGTAAAATGGGTTCAGTGTACGTGCAATTAAGTTGTTCAAGTTATTACTAAGATCGAAGGATCGACTGTCCTGTTCCGCCTCTAACCGTGATCTGCCTTCGGTTTGGGGCTGCAACTCGTTGCTAACCCAAAAACGCAAATTAAGCATTCTCATGATTTTTAGAAACTAAAACAGCTATGCTGTCATTGACAATCTCCAATACAGTCAAACAGTTTTTGGACGGAAACTGGACTCACGTGTCACCGTGAGACTACTTAGATAAAGCAGAAACCATGCTGACAGAAACTGCAATTCTTTCAGTTTGGTGAACGAAAATAATGTATGAACTATGGTTTGCTTCAGAATAAAATGAGTGACGTATAGAGTGGGTCCATACGTCACGAGCTCTTCGCAAAACTGGATTGGTTTAGACGTTGGCACATCAATGAAAGATTGCAATAAAAAAATGATGAAATTAAAACCAGTGACAAATTTGATGGGATTTATGAAGCTTTAAATATCGCGCTCATAGATTTCACAGACATCTGTTTTCATGACTGAAAGTGTTGAATTTGAAGTGCTTCATTCATGTTTCCATCAATTCCTCGAAAATTCGATTATCCCCGAAGATTCTTGATACGCGGTACTAATTATGATATCACCTTTAGTTGGAAACTGACTCAGATTTTTTAAATTCTCCCACTATCTGCCACGTTATCATTTCGCTGATACATAAGATAAGAATCGTCGATAGTCTTCGATACTGCTGATGGCTAAACCGAGGCTCACTACCTGTGACTCAGTCTTGATTCACATTTGACCGCTGTAGTACAATGGTTAATTGACACCTGAATTTCAATGATTCCAATAATCTCATAACAATGTTCATAAGACGTCGAAAATATCCCGAGCTGATTGAGGCGTGTGCAGCTGTGTCTCTTGTGTGTTTGATAATTGTGTCGGCATCCCTCGCTACTCAGGAATGGACAACTGCAACAGCTTCAGTTGTTGACAAAGTCGAAGGGGTTAAAGATTCCACTGTTAAATATGGACTTTTTGCGGGGACTTTAATCAGGAGGATTCTAGACAGTCCGAAATCGTATGATATCTATCGTAAGGATTATAACGATATGCTTCAATTTATTCATATTCTTTGATCACGTGGGTATGAATTAATCAGTAGAGGAGAGTAGGGCAAAATGGGCCAGGTGGGCAAAACCGACCGCAGGGCAAAATGTGCCACTGACGTGAAAGTAATCATTTTTATTGCAAAAATTCATTCGCTCGATTTGGATACCCTTGATTACATCAATGTAAATTGACTTATTACATAAATTTGCTGGAAAAAGTATGGATCAAATCATGAAAGTAGAATTGTAGAATTGTTTCGCGGGGATCATACTTTACGAAGATCAGCCATTGCAATGTTTGAACCTCGCGTAACCTGATCTTTGAGAAGTATGACTCTCGGGAAGCAATCCTACCATTCTACTTTTACAATTTGACCCATACTCTTTCCCCCAATTTGTTCTTTGTAATACTTCAATGTAAACAAGGGGGTGCAAATCGAACGAATGAATTTTTCGAATAAAAATTATTACTTCTACGTCAGGGGTCCATTTTGTCCTGCGGTCCGTTTTGCCCGCCTGGTCCATTTTGTCCTACCCGCTTCTAGTGCAGTGATTAAACTTAATAGATGAAATCCATTTTTCATATCTTGTTGAACAATAAGTTTGTTTCTTTAACGGATAATTGTAGGAAAGAATGTTAGAACACATTCTTTTTTGGAAGTTGAATGGGTAAGGGTCTGGAGGGGGTGCATGTACTTTTTTTCACGTTTTTTATTCAAAAGAAAATCGTCAGTATTTAGATACATACATAGCTTAAAAACTAGTAACAAAAAACTTTTATGAAAAGTATTGTTTATAGTATATAAACTTTTGGCCCATCATTGACTCTCGAGTTTATTTTATATTTTGGATTTTATATAACATTGTATTTAGTATTTGAAATGAAATTATGTCTACAATAAGTAGAATTTTTGTGGTTAAAAAAAATGTTTAATTTTTTACTGTCTATAAGAAAAAAAAGGCACTTCCATATCTGCATGAAAAAATTGGGGAATATAATCCATTAATTACCTATGGCGAGTTTTCGATATTAATTCCACTATGATTTTTGTTGGTGCATGTATAGTTCAGCGGGTAATACCATATACCCCCGTTTCTAAGAAAATCATCCGTTGATAGTTCACGTCCATTTTCCCTGATAGATCCCTCGATGGCTGGTTCGAGGTGTTCACGCGGTCGAGTGCTAGTCGATGATGGTTCGATTGATCGACTATCGATCGACTAGCAATCGATCAATGATCGACCATCCATCGATTAACCCAGAACAGTAGAACTTTCATAACAGCTCACCTTCGTAATTGCACACTGTCTCATCGCACGAGGGGAACAGTTCCCCCACCATTACAATTCCCCTCCATGACCATTCTCTCTCTAACCTCTTTCGCTCTCTCTCCAATGCGCGAGGACAGTGCGCAATCCGCCCACCATCTGCCTAGTGGTTCTTTCCCCCACCATTACCTCTACGACCATCTCTTTCTGACTCAGCGCTCTCACTCTTTCGCTGGAGAAGAAGGGTCCTTTCGTAAGTGCAACTTCCGAGAACCCAAACCACTGAAGGCTTGTAGTTATTAAAGTTCGACTATACAGTTTCGTTCCAGCCTCGGCGAAGAGCGGTGCTCCGATATGTATATTTGAAAGTTCAGTCGTTACGAGAATTTTACATGGTTCAACAGTCCTATTTGAGTGATATTGTTGTTATATCTTAAGTTATAAATCTTAGTTATAATATTCTTAGAGAAGACCGGCTACAAAGAACATTTGGAGGAGTACTGATAGCCATTGAAAAAAACATTGAGTATACTGTTATTACAGGCCTAAATCTCCCAAATCAATTAGAATGGACGTGCATTCAAGTCGAACAAGATCTTCAACCGATTATGATTCTAAATGTTTATCGTCCCCCCGTTAAATTTATTGATAAACGTGGATGGAAGAGGTTTTTCGATACCATCCAAGTACTTGGAAAAAATTGTTTCATATGCGGTGATTTTAACGCCCAGAGTAAAACATGGGACAGTACAGTTAATGAAAATGCCACAGGTACAATAATTGAAGATCTTCTCATGGACTTTGATCTGTTCATTTTAAATACTGGGGTTAAAACACGTAAACTAATAGGCCGTCCAGATCATTTGATCAGTGCTCCGGATCTTTCAATGTGCAGTAAGAATTTAACTGTAAATTTTAATTGGGAAGTAATTTATGATAGAATGGATAGTGATCACTATCCTATCATGATTACTTGGCTTAAGTATTACTCTTTCCATAAATTATCTGTTAGGGAAAGGATTAACACTAATAATGTGGATTGGAAGAGGTATAATGAGGAAATGAAGAAGGTCCTAGGAGATTTGGACTTGAATTCTCCTAGAGTGGCCTATGAAAAAATGACAGAGGGAATTACTGATAATTTACGTTCTTGCGGAAGTAAGAAAACAAACATTAATCGTAAGCTCCCTCCTCCTACTATTTGTTGGACAGAACAGTGTTCGTCTCTAATCCAGGAGAGAAGAGACACTGAACATGAATTTGAGAATCATCCTTCTAAAAATCAATTTTATAAATACATGGAGATCAGGAGGAAAGTAAAAAGAGAATTGAGGAAGATTAAACGTAGGAGTTTCAGAGCACTGTTATACCTTATCACCGGAAAAAAGTATACAAGAAACATGGAATTCGATCAAAGCCTTTAAGTCTCTTTTCAATGTTCCCTATCAAAACAAGTCGAGCAGTTCACATGATCCAGAAGTTTTGAAAGCCGTAGAGAAGCTCAATAAATTTCCCTTCGTTCAAAAAATTTATCTACCAAAATATGACTTCGCAATTCAAGAATTAAGAGAAAATATTGAAGAAGGAGAGGTTAGGTGAGTTATTAAATCCTCAAAAAAGAAATCAGCACCAGGATCTGATGGAATTAATGACCAGTTAATTAAAAAATTACCTCTTGAATTTGTTCCTGTTTTAACTACGTTGTTCAATGAATTCTTGAGGCAGGGAGTTATTCCTGATGGTTGGTCTGACTACACTGTCAGCCTAATTCCAAAACCGGGAGGTCTAGGTTTTAGACCTATTGCAATATCAAATTGTCTTCTCAAAATTCTGGAAAAAGTCGTCAATCGCTTAGTTTGGTGGTGTGAAAGAGAACAGATACTCCCAAAGGATTTTTTTGGATTTCGGAAAAATAAAAGTTGCATAGATAACATTGCAATATTTGGTTACAGATATTAACTCAGGGATGTTAAGAAAAAAATTTGTCTCAGCTACATTTTTGGATATAGCCGGTGCTTACGACAACGTGGTAACGGCAATACTTATTCAAGACCTGAAGGAGTTAGGTATCCCGTATAATATTGTCTACTTCATCAAGAATATCATGGAATTCAGGAAATTATTCGTAGAATTCAAGGGCTTTCTCATCAAACAATTAGAAACTGGAAGAGGTCTACCACAAGGAAGTATTCTTAGTCCTGTTCTTTTTAACATTTACATGAAGAATATGATACACTTCATAGGTGATCATAGCAGATTCCCCTCATTTGCAGATGACAAAGTCATCTACAACATTAGCGACACCTACGAAGATGCAATTAAAGAATCTGAGAATTCACTAAACTTATTTAATGATTGACTGGAGACAAGGAGATGTAGTTTATCCAATGAAAAACCCAAAGCCATGTTATTTACTCAAAGAAAACTCCCTTCAGTAAATGTAAGACTGGAGATCTTTTTAAATGGTATGAGAATCGAAGAGGTTGAGAATACCAGGTTCTTGGGAATTATGTTAAACAAGGATCTAAAATGGGAAGGTCATATAAACCACACGGTTGTTAAAGCTAAAAGATACATCTCAATTTTAAAAGCAATTGCTGGGTTGAATGTAGGACCTCATCCTAATACACTTTTAGCAGTATATAGAGGACTAATTCGTGCCACACTAGATTGGGTCTCAATGTTTTTTCACGATGGTACTGATAAAGATTTATTAAGAATCGACAGAGTTCAATACGCGGCGCTGAGAACTTCCTTAGGTTGTATTTCAACTACTCCCATTAAAGTCCTATTACATCTGGCAAGCGAATCCCCATTGAGGTTTTGCCGAGAATTCCTTATCAAAAAATATTTAGCTAGAACTGTGGCCAATACTGATAACTTGCTCGTTCCAAAGTTGAAACTAATGCAAAGAGTAACAGAAACTCACCCAGAAAAACGTAAAAAATCTCAACATGCGCTATTTTGTATCTGGCTAGCAAATCTGGACGATTGGGACGGTATAGAGAGTTCAAAAATTCCCTGCTGTTATCAATTCTCCTTCAACATCAATTATCAAAAAACTTCGATCAATATTGTGGATGGAAACCTCCTGAAAAAATCTCACGATGTGAAGAAAGACTTCGGAGAATTATTAAACGAAAAATACCATAACAGCAAACTCATCTATACAGACGGTTCTAAAAAAGATCTTCGTACTGGTTCAGAAGTTTGGTGTCCAGACCTAGATTTTAGGAAGAAAATGAGGTTACATCAATATAACTCGATTTATTATGCAGAGTTAACAGCCATAAAGGAAGCCTTATTGTTTATAATGGATTCTGAGATTGAGAAAGGATTAATAGTTTCTGATTCTAAATCCTCCCTGGTTGCCATCTCCTCAGGAATAATACATCGATACGACTTGCTGCTGTACGAAGTTAATATAAAAAGGCTTTTATTGAACAATTACAAAGCGTTTTCCCTGGGGAAACATACCTCGCCCAGGGTTATAAATACATTAGTAAGACCACCACAACACGACGTGGCCATTCCCTATGTAACATTTTTGTAATAAAAAATTGCATTAGATGCTATTCTCACTATTAGCTGGATTTAAAGTAGGGGAGGGGAAGGCAAAATGGGGCATGAAACCGTAGAGGCTACTTAATTGTGTTTTTTTGCTAAAAATTACTTATATTGGAGGTGAAATATGGCTCCAGCATGAGTTGAAATCACGCCAATTCAAAAAAAATAATTGAAGGACAAAATGGGAATGCCCCAATTGAAATACCGCAAAATTGCGTTGATTCACTTTGATTATAAATAGTATGAAATTAATGAAAATGTATACTTATATGTTACATATTTTTTCGATACATAATCAAAGTCGTCTCAGGGTGTTTTGACCAAATTCGCGGAATTTCAACAAGAAAAAATTGAAAATAAAATAGGTCCAGGACGAAACCTAACTTGTTTGACAGCTCAAAATACTTGTTTTGATGACAAGAATTAATGGAAAAAAATACGAGAAAAATAAAATGACATAATTTTGAAAAATCAAGTTTTTCAACTTTTTTTTTGAATTCGTTATTATGAGCACCTAGGGATTGAGAAAAAAAATACTCAAAATATTTTTATAGATAGCAGGAAATAAAAAATTTTGATGGGTTATAAATGAAAATCCAATGAATTGGAACCCACGAAAAATCGCGGAACTGAACTTATTGAAAAATGAAGAAAAAATCATATCTCTGAAATGAATTGTCGAAAAAATCTGAAAAAAATTGAGAGATAGTTTTTAATTAACTCACCTGGTAGTTATTTCATACTTTTCTCGCAAATTCATCATTATTTCAATTTTCGCGAAAATTTTGAGGTGCCCCATTTTGCCCTACCCTCTCCTAGTTATACATTGATTCAATTAAAAGAAAGAAGAGATTTCGTTTGCTTCTATTTTTCAACTACATTAATTTTGGGATTCGGTCTGATTCTGATTCTTCGTCTGCACTAACCTTCCATACACTGGGATTTCTAATCTTCAATTTCTCCCATATGTCATTTGCCCTCATTACCTTTCCTTCCATCGTTTTATTGTGAGTGGACTCATCGCTGGATCCTGCTGATGGTGCCTCACGTTCTTTCAGAATTCCATTTTTATTTTTTGTTGATTGAAATCCATCCCAATTTTTAGCTGCGGTCAGTGATGTACCAATAGCTGACTTTGCATCTTTCTTACTAATTCCTGGATGCGCAGTCATAAGTGCCTTTGAAAATTATGATTATACGTATATATTATATCGAAGCATTTTACTTTGTGACAACTGTCGACTGGGAAACAACTGTACGGAATACATTGGTAGAAAAAATTATTTTATTGAGATGTTTGTTTCTTGAAACAGGTACTAAATCATAAAATTCGTTGTTTTTTGTTATTCCACATTGTAATCACACCGAATCGGAATGTTCTGACAAATGAAAAATGGGCGGTTTCAAAATTTTAGGATTTGCTAAGGGGAAAGAAAATAAAAAACTAAAAAAAAACATTTTCTCACGATCTAATACATATAAAGTAAAATGGATACTTGGATTTGTTCCTTGGAGCATAATGAACATTTTGAAAAAAAAAAGTTATAATCGGATAAAAACTGTAGGACAAGGGGGATTTTTAAGCTAAAAAAAGTGAAAAATTACGGTTTTGGTGGATGTACAGGGCAAAACCGCTCGAGTCCAAAATCTTTCTTACTTTTTAATGTATCCCTGCATATACCAAAGGTTGTCCAATGGCTCTTAAGGCTGAGCGAAGACTTTTAAATTTCACCACGGTCTCCCCTTAAGGAGTGAACAATATTGATTTCTCAATAGAATGAAGTAACGTTAGTGCAAAAACACCAACAATTAATACGAAAATCTTTGTCCCAATCTATACCTAACGCAGAACTGAGATTTCTGCTGGGTCAGAAGCCTCTGGACATAATTGCTGGATAAATACTATGTACAAGAAGTAGATTTCTTCATGAATCACTCCCGTGCCATATGAAAAATCTATGCAACTACAGGAAACGCGAAACAAAATTCAGTCAACGTTTTCAGTAAACAATATCGAAAACACCTCAAAAAATCATTTGTTTATGCATTTTTATTCATGAAACTGTTGCAAATACGTCAAAATATGTCTGAGAACTTAATCCCTCTTCCCAAAAATCCCGGTTATTTAAAGGAAAGAATTTTTTCTGGCTGAAAAAGTTGAATTTTCAATTGTTCATCAATAATTTATTAATAACAGAAACACCAATAGAAATTCGATATTCGGATTTAGCGGGTCAAAAAACACAGAATTCAGTAAAAAAAAGTTCTCCATCCCAAATGTATGCAAATACCTCCCAGCTTTCGGATTAAAAATAAAATAGGAAGACGGCCGATAGCTCAGTTGTCAAAAATTCAATTGCAGACGCCTTAAAATCGTATTATTATCATGTCATCTTTATATATTATAAAAATCTAAAGCGATTTTTGGTGATCAAAAATCGGTACTCGAAATTAAGATCACAAGGGTCAGATTAAAGTATAGCTCTACCTTTCGGCCGGGCTACACTGTACTTTTGGATACTTTCAGTTTTTAAATTTTTCAACTAAATTGCATGGAAAAAATTTGAAAAAATTCATACCCAGTCAGTATTATCTAAATTAAATTTCCCAAAATATTGATATTTTTTCAAACATTTCCCTGTTATAAATAAATAATAAAACTTGTTAGCAAAACGGTGGATCATTTTTTATGAGGTGTCCAAAAAAAATCTTGATTTTTTCACATCTAATAAACAAAAATCAGATTTTAATCTTTGATTACAATGGAAATGTTGCTTTTCACATAAGACACCGGGTTAAATCCTGATTTTTAAACATTTCTTTTTTGAAAAGCCAAAACGATAATTAAATTGAGAAAAAAATTAGAATTTTGAATCTAATCAAATTTTCCGCAATTTTTTGCAGTTTTCAATAATCTTTGAATTTACCGTAAGGGTAGAGCTACTTTAAGGGTCACAAGGATCAAATTAAGGGTCATGAGGGTCAGTTTACGCGTCATAAAGTTCAGAATAAGGATGATGCGGATCATATGGGGGTTGGTGAGCGGAACGAACGAAGGGCGTAGTCCTTTAGTTTATTCAAGAAATTGTACGCAATAAATCAATTGAAGGTGTTTCATTTTCTCGTTACTTCGCAACTGATATCGAATGAAACCTAATTTCATTATACCTTATTCTTGAATTTCAGTTACTTGCTTGGTGAATGAAAATGTATGTGCTTGGAGTTGCCTTGCCGATGCAGATTCGAGAGAAAAAGAACTCGAGCTCCTTTTCAACAAGGAAATCCCGAAATTTAATTGTCCGTCAGTGTCGGCATCAAGAACTTTGCAGTCGAGATTGGCTCGCGACGATAATAGCACTAACACGTCAACTAATGGTATCAGCACCAGTCAATTTACAAATGAGTAATTCCCTCTTTGACATCTGGTACATTTTTTCAGCCTCTTTGTTTCATTTGGCAGGTACATACACAGGGGAGTTCCTCAACGCTGGAATGTTCTACAGCACTTTATCCGCGGTGATATTCACTCTGATTACTCTATTTCTTCTATTCGTTTTATCCGTGGTAAATTGCATTATGTGCCCGAAAGATTCGACCCTGAACACAGCGGGCATGGCTATCTTAGCTAATGTTGCCTTCGGAGCTAATCTACTTGGAGTGATTCTTTATGCGTGCAATTATAGCATTTGGATAAAGGATAATATTGGGATTAGAGATACTATTGTGGATGAGTACAGATCGACCGCAACACTTGGATATTCATTTTGGTATTTGATAAGATGGTCCCTCATTCTTCTACCTCCAATGCTTCATTTATATTGATTGCCTTTATTTCCTGTTATTCCAGGATCTTCATGTGCACCTGCTTTCTAATTCCTCTAATCGCAGTCTTCATTTTTACAAGGAATGGCTTGCTGAGACAGGATAGGGCCGAAACCGTGATTATTGTAGCCCAGGTCAATGATCCAACGACAGTTCTTTATTAGAGAAAGAATTATTGTGATGTAATTAAGTTCGACAAAATAAAATGTTGGAAATTTATATAGCCTGTCTTGGGCGATGCATCTTTTCAATAATATTGAGTCCAAGAATGTGAGAAAGTTGGAGTCGGGAGAATCGTCGAGCGAAGACTGCGGTCAAATTGGAAAGTCTCTGGATTTAGTCAGAACCCAACGGGGGGATGTTTGGGGCTATCAAAAAAGTTGCAAGAGAGAAAATCTGAAGGGTTTCAGGCTCGGTTAGGGTCGCGCGATCGAAATTTCTACGAAATGAAGAGCGTTCCAGAGGGACGCCCGAATGCTTAAACAATTAACCTGTAGATAAAGGGTTCTTCGCTACTGAATTCATATTTCCTCTTTTATTTGTTATTGAGGGCTGAAATTGATCTGAATCGATAAGACATTCAATGCTTCTATCCCACCGCCTCAACCTTAGTTGGTCACCATACGCTACCCTGTAATTTGGTCAATTCCGCGGGGGTTCGTCACCGTGTATTTAGGCTTTAGCGCGTTTGACGAGTTTTCGGCGAAACGGAAGCTCTGTGTGTACCTATATGAACTTTTAGAGTTGTGTTTTCTCCTGCAATTATTATTTTTTATTTATGAAACTACTTCATTGACTCAAAAATGCAATAATCGAGTCGATAAAGTAATTGCATTGATAAAAATTAATAATTGTAGGAGAAAACACAATTCTAAAAATTAATATACACACTGGGGTTCTGTTTCCCCTTAAGGATATAGAATTGTCAATTGACTATTGAGTAAATCTTTTTAAGTTTTGGATTTTTTGTGTTATATCGACCTATTATAATTCAAAAAGTCCGAAAATGCAATGAATGTAATATATGGATGAAACTGAATCTTTTTTTTCAAATATAGGTATTGTTGAGTCCTATCGATCGCCATTAATTAGAATTTATCGATTATTTTTTACATTTTTTAATTTTCTCGAAAATCAGTTGTCCCACGATAACTAAAAAAAATGTTCTGAATTAATTAAATGATGGCTTAAAAATTTGTTTGGATGTCCTTTTGACCGAATTCGAAGATGAAGACGATAACAATAATCGTTATCTTGATTTATTTGAAAATTTGCTAAAATTCTGCATTTTTTGAAAATCAAAATTCTGAGGATATGTTTAGATATCATGGTTATTCAAATGAATTCAATCATAGTTTAAAATGTTTGTTTTAATGCCAGTAAGCTGAAGTTCAAAGATGATCCCGATAGCTATATTGTTTGATTTGATTTTTATGATGATTGTGGAAAATTTTGAATTTTTTATGAATTTCCCTGAAAATGAGCTTTCTGATGATTTCTTCAAATGTGATATTTCAAATTCATTCAAGTATGTGTAAATAAAACTTTTCTATTAACATTTTATCGAAGGGCTGAGGGGAGAGATAGAACTGTAAAAAAGGCAATCGGTTGTATAGAAGAAAAGGGATGGTAAGAATAAAGATGCTGATAACATTCAACTAATTTGAAAATGGACAAAATTAGTTAAGAGGAAATCTCATTCAATTTAATAGAATGAAATAAGCAATGAATTATACATGCTAGAAGGAAATGATGTGCAAAATACCATTCGGAAGCATATTCATAATTTATTAGCAAAACTAACTATACTATATACAATACAAGAGCAATTTCCCACTTGTTGAACTTCATAAAAGGATTGTTAATTAGCCAAATCATCGGCAATCTTTGGAACTCAATTATTGATTGATAAAAAAATCCGGAATTCGAACATTTAATTGATGATTAATTTAATAATTCAAAAATTGTCGAGTGATATTGACGATTGTCTTATTCAAAATTTAAGTTTATTTAAAATTTATGATTACGTCGTATTGTCTGGTTCAATTAAAGACACTGATGTTGATCAAATTACGGATATTGAAAGAAAAGGATGATTCAGAACGTCCAGAAAGCTCCTCTGTTCCAATAACATTCGAGAGATGTGAAGTGGGGAAAAAATGATTGCATCAATTTGATTTCTCCTCAAACTATTGTTGTAAACTGCTGCCACCTGCGGTTCTCCATTGAACGAGGATTCGAGCAGGTGGAAGGGTTCCTCCTGGCAAGCACTCCACTGGTCCACTCACAATGTAACTCCAATCCTCTGTGTACCTCAGTATACCTGGAACGCGTCAGTTGTGAATGTGTACCTTTGGTGGCATTGGAGTGAAGCGTTGGTGCTGTATGAAAAAGTATTCCTAATGCACGTTTTTAGTGTTTTATTGTTATCACTGAATTTTTCACTGGATTACAAGAAAAACGTTGAAAAATTCTTTTGTGTTCTGTAATGGAGAAATTAAAGTGGAAAGAAATGTAAGGGTCACTCGTGGAATGAAAACAGTCGGAGATCACCGGTAGTAAGGGGCGAAGTGGAAACGATGCTGAGACGGTAAGAAAACTGGTCTTACATTTTTTTTTCTCCATCAAATCCGTGAACTCTGTCTTTCCTTTCCCGTCGTGTTCAGCACATCCTGAAACAGAAATTACATGAGATAAACAAGTTTCTTTATTGTACATTTCCTCTCATGCCTGTCAATTCTCCGATCTCTTCGTTTTTATCAGTACAATCATGAATACTTATTTATCATTGATTCGAAGACGCATTGTCTCTAGAAATTATGAAATTTTACTCTAATCGAATTAAGGAATTCGTGGTCATCGCAGGAGTAATATTCAGGCGGCCATTGTAATTGTGAAATTATTATAGATCCCGAAGATTTTTCAATCATCAATTATCCTCATCAGCGACTCCGGGAAGTTCTTTGAAGAAGAACCGTTGCGAGAGGACTTTATGACTGAGAGGGGAAACTGGGTCACATGAAGCGTGTATTACCAGTGAACTCTGGAGATTGATGCACTCTAGGATCTCACGTTTAATTTAACTGAAACGTGGATATTTAAAAATTCACATGATGTTAATGAAACTCGAATCCCTTCCGTTAGAAATAATACGGGCTGACGTTCTTTAATTTGATTTTGCCACGCCACTTTCTACCTAGAAATGGATGATTGTCAAATCAAGTAAATGTCAACAGAATATGAGGAAGCGCGCAGAAGAAATCCAATATATATTACGTCATGTAAAAATGCTTAATGCCTAAGGTGAGCGTCGAATTACGGGGAACACCGGTGGTCAGGGAAGGCCCGTGCGAACCGGTTGATATTCGTTTGTGTGAGAGGAAGAGGTAACCGAGGGAAGTCATTGATATCCCAGTGGGAAATTTGAATCGCAGAATGCAATGTTCCTGCGCCTGGATATCTCATGCAATCTGCAATGCGTGAAAGAATAAAACTATGATTGCATAATGATAATCCGATACAATTTTTAGTCTCCAATTCTCTATTTCTGTCATTTATTCTATTCATTCTATCAAAAGACAAAGATAGAAACCGAATTTGTGGCTATTCTTCCCTTATTCGAAAAAATGTATCGATTTTAAAACTTTCCGGAGACATTGTAAAATTAGTTTCTTTATTTTTTCCCGCCTACGTTTTTTTGCATGTTTTTTCATTTCTTCTGGTTGAAATTGGATCATAAATCTGCAAAATATTCATATCCCGCCCATATTCGAAGAAAAAACAGTAATTCCAAGTATCCGCTGATACAAATGAAGAAAAACAAATTTTCTCCATTTTCCAGTCGATCATCCCTTTTTCAAAATTTTCAGTCTCCAATTTGTAATTTTTGCGATTCATTGTCATTTAGGTAATTCCATTCATTCTATCAAAAGACACAAAAATCGATTTAAAAATTTTCTGGAGACATTGAAAATTGAATTTTTTAGCTTTTCTCCCCCATATTTTTTAGTCATTTTTTGAATTTCGTCTCGCTGAAATATTTCTATCCCTCTAATATTTGAAAAAAAAATGTCTAGCCGATTATCCCTTTCTAATTATTTTTTCACTTCAATTCATAATAATAATGATTAAAATCCGACCATAGGAATGACGAGTACCGATATCCTTTTACCATATGAGGGGAAACATAGATTTCAAAAATTTCCAGGAATACATAGAGATTTTTCTATTACCCGAAAGAGATTTCGAATGACTTTTGCTTTGTGTTTGTTTTGACTACAAAAAAACACTTTTTATTAATCTTTAACATAATTCCACTTCATTCAATATTGTAACTTGTGAATTAAGGGAAAAAATATATGTAATAAAAATAAAAATGGTTAAAATTAAATTAATCTAATTGTGAAGACGGAAAGGGAAATAAAATAAAATGGTATAAATTAATCTAGCTTTGCTAGTAAATATCATATTCAAAAATAACAGCATTATATTGGTCAAAGGAGCTCGGACCATTGAATTATTCAGCCGTTGTAAGCAAATATTGACGAACCAGAAAATTTTCCTGGAGTTTCTTTCGCGATATTGTGTAGGGTCTTGCAGAAACAAACGGTGTAAGCGCCTCGTGTTTGCTCTTTTTCATCCCAGAGTCTGAACTATATAGCTAACTTGCCCCGAGGCACTCACGAATGGCCCCAAATAAGAACGAGAATTCCACATAATACTCGTTATCTTTCTCGATGAGTCCCGATTGCAATGTTTCTTTCATCGGCGCTCGAGGGCCAAGGCTAACCAACGGATTCCATCCTTTCTTTTTCCTACCCTCGTTTTTTTATTCCTTTCATCCTTTCAATTTGTCGAGAATACATCATCGAGGTATTTCCTGTTTTACTTCATAATTTCATGGCGTACGCAATTTTGACCTTTTTTTTCACGTAATGATTAAATGTCAGTGGTGAAAGCATCCTTTTTGTATTTTATGCCTCCTTTTTCCGGGGTTTATTTCGCTTCTCTGTGCTAATTGCAGGATGACATGAAATCGTCTTTCTTATTTTGCAAAAGTTCTAAGAATAACTCGTGTGGAGAAAGGATTTTGTGAGATCCATTCATGGCGGAATTTCCTTAGTGCATGAGAAATGAGAAATTTGTGGAGAATAATCCTGTGGAGATTTCGTACATTTCTTGATAAAGCAATCTATAGAAATTTCCTATAGAGAAAGTTTTATAAAGGACTCTTTATAGAAATATATTTCATACACAACAAATCATCAGTATTGGCAAAAGAACGGCGCTCTCCAAAACGACTGAAATTCGCCTCCTCCTCCTGTCCTCTACAACCCATCAAACTCCCTCTTTTACGAACGTACCAAAGTCGAACCTATGCTCGATAGATTTGACCAATGAACATAGAAGACGCGTTTTCTTTCATTTGACTCATTTTCAGGATTTTTGTCCCGTTAGATTTCCACCACGTAAGGAAAAATTTCATAGAAAAAGCCCAGCGAATTCGATAAACAATTCTTGTAAAATTCTATCAGTTTTTGGGCGATTCTATTGAAATATTCAATAGAAAATATTCTACAAAAAAAAGTCACTAGAATTCAGTTTTTTGATACAACATATTCTATTGAGATATTTTCTACAGAATTTCGTCGACTCAAATTTGTTAAGTTTTTAATCTGATTTCTTTGACGAAAAGAAAAGCAAAATAGAATGAAAAAAACATGGAAAATTTGAGCCGAGGAAATTTGATAGAAAATATCTCAGTAGAATAAGTTGTATATAAAAATCGAATTCTATTGATTTTTCGGCAAAATATTTTCTTTTGGATATTTCAATAGAATCTGCCAAAAATTAATAGAAAGTTCCATAGAAATCCCATGCAATTGTCTAGCAAATTTCCTAGGTTTTTCTATTAAATCTTTTGGGCGTGCAATGAGAAATATCGTCATAATATCACGAAACTAATTCCTTGCGCCAAATATCTCATCTCTTGAGGATAAATTTCTTGGGACAAGAATTCCGGATGTGTCAGACAATGTTAGATTTCGGTGAAGTGTTCATGACTTGAACATGAACATTTCATGAATAAAGTGAGAATTTTTCATTTCATGATAAAGTAAGAATTTCTTGCCACAAGAAATCGGTTATTTCGTGTCGGAAGATGAGAAAATGATTAAAAACACTAAAAGCTTCGCTTTGGGAAATCATGAATAGAGAGTTTATGCAGAGAAAACCCTTCAGATATTAAAAAATATAACCGTCGCTTATGCTCAATCGCGTTGAGTTCGAAGGGAAGCAATATCTTTTTTTCCTTCTGTCAACCTATTCTTGTCATTTTATCTCATTTCGAAAAAAGACATTATCTTTTCATTCAGTAACTTCCTCCTTAGCCCGAAGAGCACCGATTTCTTGTCTGAAACCTACCATAAATTGATCAAATATGTATACGATGTTTTTCGCTGAAGAAATGATTTTTATGATATTATGTCAATTTTTCTTTTAGTGTGATACAACCAAGTTTTTTTTATTTAAAGTTTTCTACGGGACCTGCAAACTTCGATTCTTTATGAACTTCGAAGAATTTATTCTTTTATAGACCTTTTCCTGTGGAAGATTCTTCAAACTTGGGTTAAGGGAATACCTACGAAGAATGTTCAAATTCTTCCTAGGATTATCCTGTAGAATGATCTTATAGAAATTGTATAGTGTTTGTCGATATTCGGTTACAAGATAACAAATTTCACTTCAGAAACGTTGAATTTCTTCAAAAATAATGAATCTTTATGAATGGAAAAAACTCCAGCATCTGCACAATGTGAATAACAATAAACTGATAGATATTTTAAGCCCTAACAATCGATCATTTTAAACCGGAAAACTACTCTAAGGTTAACACGCGGATGTTATTTTTTGAGAAAGATTGTGTTATGACATTATGTAGATTAAAGTTACGTGAAACATGTACACATCATCGAATATTGAGTATATCGTTATTACAAAACCAAAACATATTAAAGTAATGAAGACTTATTAAATATACATTTGGCGAAATCCAAGTGAGACTGCGCCTGAAGCAGCAGTGAGATCATACTCGGCTGAATGCCGTTAGACTGTGTCATACCGTGGGTTACACTGGAGCGCGTGTCACCGAAGAAAAACCTGAAATACTTCACAGAGAAATTCAACGCTATATCTATCAATTCAGTCCTATGAATAACATAAAACATCACATGAACATAAATCCTCGGAAACTTGTCTATGATCTAAATACTTGGAATAGATTCATTGGTGTGGAGTGAAAAACTACAACTATACCATTTTCGAGATGTTTTTAGTTCAGTAATGAAGAGAGGTATTTTCTGTAAATCGCCATTAGAAAATATCGACCTGTTCCAATCAAAATGTCGAACACTTTTTTCTTGCATAAATTTGCAAACAAAAGGTGCCTCTTGAGGTTCCTTTATGATTGTTAACTTTTTATTCGTCTCAACTTATTTTTCGTCTTCCTACATATTCTGTCTTCCGAGGTTAATCCGTTTAATAGATTGCTATTTGACCTTAGGAACGAAAAAAGAGATAGTTGGAACATAA